CTAGCAGCACTCAGTCGCGCGGAGCTGGAAGTAGTCGCGCCGATATGCGTAGACTTTTTGGGAGGAGGGTCGGGGTAGTTGGACATCTCTGATAGTTTGGTGAACTTGAAGCCTTTGCCTTTGGTGTCTCGCACGATAATACGGCCATCACGGGTGTATGCACGGTCAAAAGCACCAATACTTTTGAGATGTCGGGCCTTGGCAAATACAGCTGCACGCTGCTTGGTTAGTGCTTCATTAACATAGAATGGCGGTGGGACTGATGATGAAATGGATTCGGATGAGTCAGATTCCCTCCTTAAACCGAACACGGCAGATCTTGCCTGATATATCTCCGCTCGCGTGCGGTACGATATAAATCGCACGATGATGTCGCGTGCAGGGCGATCAGCGGAATAGGGCCCAGCTGGTACCCTGTGGGATCTACTAATGTCTTCCTTGGTCACCATTACACCCAATGAGTCGTTACATGCGCTTACAATTAAATCATCGGTATCTTCACCGCTACTTTCAGATATACCTCGAAATTTGAGACATGTTCTTCTAGAGTATTGTTCCGCGTCGTCTACTCGTTCCTCTAGGGCAGCTATTTTAGCAGCCATGTCCGATATACCAAGTTGCGCCATCAGCGCACTCTTAAAAAGTTTTGAGTCCATTAATTGGGTAACAACCTCCTGAATCAGTGAATGACAGCGGGGTCGTCAATGGATTGGATCGCCTCGACACCTTTACGAATCTTATTGGATAACACCGTAGCCATAATAACAATCTTGTAGATAGAGAAAATATATAATAATTGTTCGTCAAGATTCAAGATGGCGACCAACAATGTACACGATGACCAGACAAAAAACATCTATAAAGTCTCCAGAGCACACATTTGACATAAATCACTCAGATATCCTATGCATTTTTGTCTATAGATGGTACATGAAAGTCAAAGTATTGGAATGCACATACTCTTAGCCATTGATGGCGGTGATTCCACTTCGGATAAGGTCAGACCATTTTAACACGTCCTGGTCAGTCAACCGGATGTCAGTTTTTTTCGGGGTTTTCAATAGACCCTTCAGATAATGTATTGACTCCCTAAAATGATCTTTGACTCTTGACTCTTGAGTTCTGAGTATGAACCTGTCAAGTACCAGTGGTAGTGGTATATTACTGTCATGTGTACATGTTGATTACCAGTGGTAGTGGTATATTACTATTGTATATACCTTGAGTATCAGTTGAGTGGTATATTACTATTGTATATACCTTGAGTATCAGTGGAGTGGTATATTACTATTGTATATACCTTGAGCAACAGTGGAGTGGTATATTACTATATACGTTGAGTATCAGTGGAGTGGTATATTACTATTGTATATGCCTTGAGCAACAGTAGAGTGGTATATTACTATTGTAGATACCTTGAGCAACAGTGGAGTGGTATATTACTATCTTGGTTGAGTATCAGCGGAGTGTTATATTACTATATACGTTGAGTATCAGCGGAGTGGTATATTACTACGTTGATTATCAGTGGAGTGGTATATTACTATATACGTTGAGTATCAGCGGAGTGGAATATTACTATATACGTTGAGTATCAGCGGAGTGGTATATTACTATATACATTGAGTATCAGTGGAGTGGTATATTACAATATACGTTGATTATCAATGGAGTGGTATATTACTATATACGTTGAGTATCAGCGGAGTGGTATTTTACTATATACGTTGAGTATCAGCGGAGTGGTATATTAATATATACGTTGAGTATCAGCGGATTGGTATATTACTATATACGTTGAGTATCAGTGGAGTGGTATATTACTATATACGTTGAGTATCAGCGGAGTGGTATATTAATATATACGTTGCGTATCAGCGGATTGGTATATTACTATATACGTTGAGTATCAGCGGAGTGTTATATTACTATATACGTTGAGTATCAGCGGAGTGTTATATTACTATATACGTTGAGTATCAGCGGAGAGGTATATTAATATATACGTTGAGTATCAGCGGAGTGGTATATTAATATATACGTTGAGTATCAGTGGAGTGGTATATTACTATCTACCTTGAGTATCAGCGGAGTGGTATATTACTATACACGTTGAGTATCAGCGGAGTGGTATATTTCTATATACGGTGAGTATCAGTACAGTGGTATATATCAGTGGAGTGGTATATTACTATATACGTTGAGAATCAGCGGAGTGGTATATTACTATACACGTTGAGTATCAGCGGAGTGGTATATTACTATATACGTTGAGTATCAGCGGAGTGGTATATTACTATATACCTTGAGTATCAGTTGAGTGGTATATTACTTTATACGTTGAGTATCAGTGGAGTGGTATATTACTATATACGGTGAGTATCAGTGGAGTGGTTTATTACTATATACGTTGAGAATCAGTAGAGTGGTATATATCAGTGGAGTGGTATATTACTATATACGTTAAGTATCAGCGGAGTGGTATATTCCTATATATGTTGAGTATCAGCGGAGTGGTATATTACTAAATACGTTGAGTATCAGCATAGTGGTATATTACTATATACGTTGAGTATCAGCGGAGGGGTATATTACTATATACGTTGAGTATCAGTGGAGGGGCATATTACTATATACGTTGAGTATCAGCAGAGTGGTATATTACTATATACGTTGATTATCAGCGGAATGGTATATTACTATATACGTTGAGTATCAGTGGAGTGGTATATTACTATATACGTTGAGTATCAGTGGAGTGGTATATTACTATATACGTTGAGTATCAGTGGAGTGGTATATTACTATATACGTTGAGTATCAGTGGAGTGGTATATTACTATATACGTTGAGTATCAGCAGAGTGGTATATTACTATATACGTTGAGTATCAGCAGAGTGGTATATTACTATATACGTTGAGTATCAGTGATCTCTGTTGGTTGAAGTAATTAAGATCAACTGTGCAGTGATATTTCTATTAACACAAGAACAAATTCATTGGTTTTTTCTAGTCAATTTATTTAATATAGTTTCATTCCAACAACATAAATTATATATATGTATATTAAAGAAAGACAAAGTGTAAATATATCGTAACTTGTTATTTCTGTAACTACATCATCAAAACTACATTGGATGAATAGAGGACTATCTTATACAACTTATCTTATTTAGGTTACAACACAAACAAAACTACCAAACAACATTTTCATTTTCCTCAACAGTAAATTATTAGCCCTAATATTAGTGATGAAATAACTAGAATAACGTACATAATGTCTCATGACATGCTTTGACTTCCCATGGTTTTATAATATCATAAACTTTCCTATTTGCTTAAGCATTTGATTTAAGTCACTGTTGGCCTGGTTTAAGACTTGAGTCCTTACCATCAGTGACCACTATAAGGCATTGGGTGTTAAACAACACCAGTAGAACACAGCGATACAAAGTTAGCTGCCTGCTTTAGGGTCACAACTCCTCAAACCAGATCACATGACTTAATATGTCCAATCATAACTTTTTCATGTGTACATGAGATTATTAAGCATGAAAAAAAAGGTAATTGTACGGTATAATAACAAAATATCACATAAAAGTATAAATCAACTTTCGTCTCATTACAACAATATAACACTTATTAAAGCATCAAAGCATATTAATCACATTGTCACTATATAACACTGTTATATACATTGTCAGTCACCAACACATAAACAACTACTGGAGTCACCAACACACACACAACTCCTGGAGTCACCAACACACAAACAACTACTGGAGTCACCAACACACACACACAACTCCTGGAGTCACCAACATACAAACAACTACTCGAGTCACCAACACATAAACAACTACTGGAGTCACCAACACACAAACAACTCCTGGAGTCACCAACATACAAACAACTACTGGAGTCACCAACACACAAACAACTGCTTGAGTCACCAACACACAAACAACTACTCGAGTCACCAACACATAAACAACTACTCGAGTCACCAACACATAAACAACTACTGGAGTCACCAACACACACACAACTACTGGAGTCAACAACAAACACACAACTACTTGAGTCACCAACACACAAACAACTACTGGAGTCACCAACACACAAACAACTACTGGGGTCACCAACACACAAACAACTATTTGAGTCACCAACAAACTAACAACTACTGGAGTCACCAACACACAAACAACTACTTGAGTCAACAACAAACACACAACTACTGGGGTCACCAACACACAAACAACTACTGGAGTCACCAACACACACACAACTATTGGAGTCACCAACACACACACAACTACTCTAGTCACCAACACACAAACAACTACTCGAGTCACCAACACACAAACAACTACTGGAGTCAACAACAAACACACAACTACTGGGGTCAACAACACACAAACATCTACTGGAGTCACCAACACACACACAACTATTTGAGTCAACAACAAACACACAACTGCTGGGGTCACCAACACACAAACAACTCCGGGAGCCACCAACACACACACAACTATTTGAGTCAACAACACACAAACAACTACTGGAGTCACCAACACACACACAACTATTAGAGTCACCAACACACAAACAACTGCTTGAGTCACCAACACACAAACAACTACTTGAGTCACCAACACACAAACAACTACTCGAGTCACCAACACACAAACAACTACTGGAGTCACCAACACACAAACAACTGCTTGAGTCACCAACCCACAAACAACTACTTGAGTCACCAACACACACACAACTACTTGAGTCAACAACAAACACACAACTACTGGGGTCACCAACACCCAAACAACTACTGGAGTCACCAACACACAAACAACTATTTGAGTCACCAACAAACACACAACTACTGGGGTCACCAACACCCAAACAACTACTGGAGTCACCAACACACAAACAACTACTTGAGTCGCCAACACACAAACAACTACTTGAGTCACCAACACATAAACAACTACTGGAGCCGCCAACACACAAACAACTACTGAAGTCACCAACACAAACAACTGCTTGAGTCACCAACACACAAACAACTACTTGAGTCACCAACACACAAACAACTACTTGAGTCACCAACACATAAACAACTACTGGAGCCACCAACACACAAACAACTACTCGAGTCACCAACACACAAACAACTACTTGGGTCACCAACACAAAGAAAAGACCAGGAAGAAAAATGAACCAGATTTCATATTACACTGTACTAAAAATAAATCAGTTGTAGCAATGAAAAATATGACAAAATAAAAGGCAACAATACACACGGGTAATATTAAGTTGAATTTATCATACGAATATACTGATTGTAAAGAATGTCCTCTGTTCAATTTGATGACAACTACTGTTTGCTAATGAGATCGGAAATCTAGTACTAAACAATTGTACATGTGTAGGGTTTTCTACATTATTACATAAATATGGTAAAAAGTATTCAGAAACAATAGAATTAGTAAAAAAAAAAAAGGGCAGTTACTTATGATAACGCCAATACCAACTTATACATTCATAAGAACTTGTAATTCATGTATATTGTATTGAAATAGATGCACTTATTGTGAACAAGAACTGCTTGGCTAAGAATTTTGATTTAATATCAGGATTTTGTTATATAGATGTTTTACCATTGAGGACTAACTGAAAGTAGAGCTGTCACCGAGGGGTTGACTAGTATACCCCCTTACACTGCGTTGCGGGGGGTATAATAACACCAATGTGCATACTGTGAACAAAAGTTATATAAAAACGCTTTGGTTTCTTGTCAAATAACCTTTGGGAAATAGTAACAAAAATTAAACAGAAAATAAATTGTGTCTACATCGCAACTTAATAATTTCAGATTTAACAGTTAAAGGAATATCAATGACATTATAGTAAATTCCTAAGTCAATAATTTCAGATGAAACAGTTGAAGATAATATCAATGTTATCATAGTATATTCTGAAGTCACACCTCTGTTGTCTCTGGACAGCTTCGAACAGTGGTGCCTTATTTTACGATATCCTCGGTGCACAACTAAATAGGTATCTTCATATTAATTCCACAAAATAAACGTGTGTTAAGTATAAAGAAGAAATTAACATCACCCCTCAATGCTTCATGTAGGAAACATTCAGTTTTGTTCATTAAATCATTACAAAAATATCTTAAAGAGCAAGAGAAGTCAAGTAAACATGTGTCTACCTGTATAAGACTACCTATAGAACATATAGACCATCAGACTTAAACATCTCAGATGGAATTAACTCAGCTGAGACAAAGTTCCTCACATTTCTAATATAAAACAATAATTCCTTCAATAAGAACTTAATCTTTAAGCATCTAAGGACACCACTGACATTTCATAAATATTTGATCAGTTTAGATGTTTTGATAAAATTGTTGTGCAGATTTCCCCAGCAATAAAAAGTACTGAAATTCATTATATTAACAAAGTGTGCAAAGGTTTGGTTATTTGCACAAAACATGCAAACCAACAGATGGGCTGTAATATTTGTATGAAGTAAGGACAGATTTACTCTGGCCAACAGACGGGCTGTACTTTTTGTTTGAAGTCAGGACAGATTTACTCTCCCCCCCAGCCGGGCCCCCCCACCTGTTTGAAGTAAGGATAGATTTACTCTGGACTGACACATCACACAAGGTACAATCTGCATTCATTGAATTTATTAATGATTATATTAACAAAGTGTGCAAAGGTTTGGTTATTTGCACAAAACATGCAAACCAACAGATGGGCTTTAATATTTGTATGAAGTAAGGACAGATTTCCTCTGGACAACAGACGGGCTGCACTATTTGTTTGAAGAAAGGACAGATTTACTCAGGACAACAGATGGGCTGTAATATTTGTACGATGTAAGGACAGATTTACGCTGGACTGACACATCACACAAGGTTCAATCTGCATTCATTGAATTTATTAATGATTATATTAACAAAGTGTGCAAAGGTTTGGTTATTTGCACAAAACATGCAAACCAACAGATGGGCTTTAATATTTGTATGAAGTAAGAACAGATTTCCTCTGGACAACAGACAGGCTGTACTATTTGTATGAAGTAAGAACAGATTTACTCTGGAGAACAGACGGGCTGTACTTTTTGTTTGAAGTCAGGACAGATTTACTCTTGACAACAGATGGGCTGTTCTATTTGTATGAAGTAAGAACAGATTTACTCTGGTCAACAGACGGGCTGTACTTTTTGTTTGAAGTAAGGATAGATTTACTCTGGACAACATATGGGCTGTAATATTTGTATGAAGTAAGGGCAGATTTACTCTGGAGAACAGACGGGCTGTAATATTTGTACGATGTAAGGACAGATTTACGCTGGACAACAGACGGGCTGTGCTATTTGTTTGAAGTAAGGGCAGATTGACTCTGGACAACAGAGGGGCTGTAATATTTGTACGATGTAAGGACAGATTTACGCTGGACTGACACATCACACAAGGTACAATCTGCATTCATTGAATTTATTAATGATTTATTATATTTCATTTTCTAGTATAACACGGTACCAAGTCTTATGTATAAATCAGAAGTAAAAGATGTAACATTAGCCTAATGACGTCTACTTTAACAATGACGAGGTCTAGACATCTGTATCATATTGCATTGTCAACAATTTTGAGCATCACAACAGTTTAATGAAAACCACATATCCTATTCTAGCTGCTGCTTTAGGTAAAATTTTCAACAGCAACAGAGAAAAAACACAAAATCAACTTTACATGTATGTACCTGTATGTACAGGTACATACAGGTTACAAGTTTGATACAAAACAATATATTCACTAACAATGTAACAACATCTAAGTCGGGGCACAAAACAGCTAGATTACTTTACACAGTAAATTATGATCAGCAATTATTTATATTAACAAAGTGTGCAAAGGTTTGGTTATTTGCACAAAACATGCAAACCACCAGATGGGCTGTAATATTTGTACGATGTAAGGACAGATTTACGCTGGACTGACACATCACACAAGGTACAATCTGCATTCATTGAATTTATTAATGATTATATTAACAAAGTGTGCAAAGGTTTGGTTATTTGCACAAAACATGCAAACCAACAGATGGGCTGTACTATTTGTACGAAGTAATGACAGATTTACGCTGGACTGACACATCACACAAGGTACAATCTGCATTCATTGAATTTATTAATGATTATATTAACAAAGTGTGCAAAGGTTTGGTTATTTGCACAAAACATGCAAACCACCAGATGGGCTGTAATATTTTTATGAAGTAAGGACACATTTACTCTGGAAAACAGACGGGCTGTACTATTTGTATGAAGTAAGGGCAGATTGACTCTGGACAACAGAGGGGCTGTAATATTTGTACGAAGTAAGGACAGATTTACTCTGGACTGACACATCACACAAGGTTCAATCTGCATTCATTGAATTTATTAATGACTTATTATATTACATTTTCTAGTATAACACGGTACCAAGTCTTATGTATAAATCAGAAGTAAAAGATGTAACATTAGCCTAATGACGTCTACTTTAACAATGACGAGGTCTAGACATCTGTATCATATTGCATTGTCAACAATTTTGAGCATCACAACAGTTTAATGAAAACCACATATCCTATTCTAGCTGCTCCTTTAGGTAAAATTTTCAACAGCAACAGAGAAAAAACACAAAATCAACTTTACATGTATGTACCTGTATGTACAGGTACATACAGGTTACAAGTTTGATACAAAACAATATATTCACTAACAATGTAACAACATCTAAGTCGGGGCACAAAACAGCTAGATTACTTTACACAGTAAATTATGATCAGCAATTATTTGGTTTGAGACAGAATCTTGGTTATGGGTGTAGTTCAAACTTTATACAGAACACATTTTAAAATGTTCAACAAGAACTATTGCTTTATCTATACATCCACCATGTTTCTACAACTCGAGATCATAAATCAGATCAATAACAAAGGTTTCTACATTACCTTAAAAAGGTTTTTATCAAAACATAAATTTAGAACTTGTCCATCGTACAATAGAGCATTATATGTATTGGAACGAGATGGGAAACCAATGTTTATGTAATTAGGTGGGGGTTTGGATAAGTGCTACTTTACACTGAGCAGAAGACTTGTAGTTAATGACAGACTGACTTTTGATTTTTGTAAGAACGTAATTAACACTAATTGAGCTAAGTCATTGTACATAGACCTGGTATGTTACTGTCCGAATTCCTCCTGACCTTGTAAGGCACTTAAAAACCAGTATTGATTTCACATGACTGAGCTTCAGATGATGATCATTTCTATTGGAAACTTTACTTATCATATATATAGGTAGTATCAAGTTCCAATTACATCATCCATGTATTGTACCGAGAACACTATATACATGTAACAGCATTGATATCTATTTCAATGTTCTTTGCATACCCCAGTAATACATAACTTTAAATGGTTAGAGACAGTATTTGTGGACTCTATGAAGAGATAAATTTGACTAAAAAATGTCTATATAAAAAAAATTGAAAGACAAATTCATAAATTTGTGTAATTTGCTAAATCTACTTATCTCTATATATTTCAAATGACCCATCTAACCCTATCAAAATTAAATGGTAGTGTAGCCACTGGCTATGCTATCATCTGTACAATAGTGGGATCATTCCTGGCTCCCTCTATAAATTCTTCCTGTGACAGCTGTCCATCAGCATTCTTGTCCATCGTATCGAAAATCTTGTCTGTACGTTCTTCTGCTGCAGACTTGTCACCATTACCCACCATCTTGTATATGGCCTATAAAGGAGAAACATTCACAACCATAGAATGTAAGTGTACTATTCAGGGGCGTCAAATTAATGGCTAGTATTAAGTGACATGAATAGTAGAGTCTTGTATTCAGGACACAAAACTGACATCCAGTAGGTACAGTAACAGGAGAAAACAGATGTCATATTGCAACAAGAAACAAGGTCAATAAACCATAAAGGAAAACAGAATTATTTCCCATAAGTCCGTTCCAAACGATGCAAACATCCAAGTTATATTATTTCTTAAACCAAATAAGACACAAAAAATAGATATAACTAGTCGTGCGTTGAAGTGAGAGGATCCTATGTAACTTACCTGTATGATTTCTATCATCTCTTCTCGAGAAACATAACCATTACTGTCGATGTCATACATTCTGAACGCCCATCTCAGCTTCTGATCACTGCGTCCACGACTTTTCACACTCAGTGCACACATGAACTCTCTGAAGTTTATAACACCATCACCATTGGCATCGAACGTCCTAAAGGCTTGTGCAGCAAAGTCCTCCCCATCGCCTTCTGGGAAACAGTTGGAGTATATGGTGGTGAAGTTGTCTATAGTGAGGTGGCCACTAGGATAGTCCTGACGGAAGTTTTTGTACCAGTCATGCAGCTCCTTCTCGGAGAAGTGTGTGTTGATCTGAAGGTCTGTGAGCTCTTTAGGGCGCAGCTTACTAGTGCTGTGACCCATACTGTAGTCTTACAGAAATAGGTCTACACAGGAGGTCACCTTATCTATTTGAAACAATCTGAAAAAATACAAAAGTTACATCGTCACAAACAAGCAAAAGGAAGGTCTACTAGCATACAGTTTGTAATAGGAAGTAGTACCGTAAACAGAATATGTTCTTTTTGCTGGGGTCGAACCCATGACCACAGACGTAGTCCCTCATGCCATAGCTATTAATACTGAAAAAAACTTAGCACGTAGAATAAATCAACCAATTAAAACAAGTGGTTTATGCACAAAGTGCAGTGTTCCAGTATATACTGTGCAACAGGAGACTGAGAAATGCAACAGCCAGACCAAGGTTTGAACCTAGGACCCTCCGAACCCGGGACCCTCTACCAATTGAGATACCTGTTCGCAGATGATCAACCCAGTCCTGCTCAGCTACATTCCTCCTTCCGTTCTTTAAGTCTTCTACCCCAAAGACATAACTATTTAAAACTCAGGTTCAGATATTATTTTGCTTGCATTCACCCTGAGTTTCAAACAAGCGTTGGCAAGCCCAATTTTGTTACAGGAGAAAGAGAAATGCAACAGCCAGACCGGGATTCGAACATGGGACCCTCCAAACTCTAGATGGACGCTCTACTAATTGAGCTACACCTGGTCACAGGCGATCGACCCAGTCCAGCTCTGCTACAACTGTTAACCCTTTAAATAATCATGGTTATCCCTTATTCAAAATGTCAGACATCTCCTTTAAGCATACTGTATTTTGAGAACATTTTTATCTGAAATATTTGTCACATAATGGTGTAATCCAACTTCACTCATGAAGCGTCTGCAACGTTTGTCAGCATCCTATCTACATCCGGGGTATTGTTAAGGTCGGAAATAGGGTTCTCGATAACTGCCGCAATTTGAGTATCGGAGGTAGTTATCCACAGTATGTGAAAAAATACCAATTAATTTTTGTTTTCTCCAATAAAAACACATTTTTATGAATGACTTGTACTTCAAAGTTGCCTGTATGATTTCAATATATATATCGTGAATTGTGTGAGGTGAGAACATGTACCCGACAACAATAGTGTTGCGAAAGTCTATCCAGTAAACAGACATAACTTTACAAGCATAACTAAAATACTAAAATATCCAAAGTTCTCAATAAAATCCATGTAGATTATAAGTCTTGTAAATATGTTCAATATAAACTGCAATTACAAATTAATAAAAATATCAATATTTAAAGACAATGCATCCATATATAGACAGAATACAATATATATTGAAAAGTAAACAGTTACATAGATACAATGTTGATGAAAATTGTTGTTAGGCGGGAGGTATATAACTACATGTACTGATCTTGTGAACATTAAGAACCTAAAAACATTTCCACAATGACTATTTTAAGGAGATTCAATTATATTTTCTTGAATTAAATTTCTGATCTCTATCATTGCAGGAAAAACATGTTTGAAGCTTAGACTGTCGATAACTGCCTCCATTGCTCTACTTTCATCGCCAAGCAACTTCAACCAATCAGAAGTTAGAATTACATTAATACAGTGCCAATATTGCGTTATATGACATCACTTTTCGTGTTGTCTGTGGTTAACTTAGGTTATAGTACGATATTACCTGTAAAAGTCTAGCATTCAGGGAATAGCCAAAATAAAATTATATGGATATAGCCCATAGACATCCATTGTAATAATTAATCTGTAATAATTACTTTGTTGTTTTTAAATTCTTTTTATTGGGTTGATATCTAGAAGTCCCTGCCCCATCAAACAAATTAAAACAAGATAATCAGTTATTTTAAGCGCAAGCCTATACATGCTGTTCATAGTGGATGTATGCATATATATTCCAAAGATATTTAGATCGATAGAATTTAACTTTTTGTGATTTGAAAAGCAGACAATTCAAGTTGGCCAAATATTGTTCTATTTTCAGTACAATAAATTAGTCCTTCAACTTTTATAGTACATACTAGGGGAATATGATAACAGGAGAGAGGTTCTATGTTTAGACAGTTTTCTCCCCTTTTTGAGGAGGAGACCTAGACCACAGGGACCTGAGAATTTGTCACAGCTATATTTGGACCTAAACTAAGGTGTTTAGAGTAATTTTTACACGTTTGTGGGGTCACGTATATTATCATCAATGGGGTGACTTTTTACCGAAAATCAATCTAAACCCCCTAAAACGTGTAAAATTACTCTGAACACCTAGTTTAGGTCCAAATATAGATGTAACAAATTCTCAGGTCCCTGTGACCTGGACTGGAACAGAGAAACACGAAAAATGTGAATTGATTACCAAACTTTGCTAACAAAATCTTTAAATAGGTGGAATGGGTTTATATATACAGATAATTAGTCAATAGGTATATATATACAAGATAGATAGTCAATGGGTATATATATACAGATAATTAGTCAATGGGTATATATATACAGATAATTAGTCACAAAGTCTTACAAAGGATTTTTACCCAAGCTAGTTCAACACATTTTGCTATATAATTATTATTATTAGCTCACCTGTAGATTTCTAGATACTGTGCAGGTGAGTAACACATACAAGATACAAGAATTTGTATTTAGAGTCGTGTTTGTAACAATGCAACTTTAGCTCAGAAGAGCTAATCTAACGACTATATCACAATCAATACACCATATAAATTAATTTCACAGACGTTTCAGTCTAATGTACATATATGCCAATATGGCAAAAACTAAAAATTGACAGAATACATGCTAATATAGCATAATCTAAAACAAACATTTATGAAACAATGATTAGGAATTAACAGCATAAAAAGAATTACACAAAAGAAATTAAGCAGCACTAAGAACTAAAACTTATATATGACAACTATTTCTGGAGCAATAAAACGAAAACTAAGAGCCAAAAAATCAATTTTTCTACAGATGATATGGTGGAACATGTACAGATGGGACCATCCCAGGTGTGGACCTTCACATCTCCGCACTTCGTTTGGAAGACTGTTCCACACCCGGGTCGCCTCAAACGAGAAAGGTTTCTGCCCATACCTGGTAGTTTTACAGATGGGATACCAAATGTATACAGTATACTGTACACATACAGGTACGATGTTCCTTCTTGCCGAGAAAGGGTTGCGCGTAAGACAAAGCAGCTTTAACAACTAATCAAGTTACGTTCACGGACTTTCTCTGCCTGAATTCCTCTGTTTTTAGGAAAATCCCAAATAATAACACTATTTTGCTATTTTTAGAACGCGTCATCGACTGAGGACGCTCAAGTAGACCTACTACAATCAATCGTTAAAACTCGTATTCCGACCCAACCCCATGCCAGACCGCGCGATCCAAAATCTGCGGCGTAACCTTATTATGGAAACAGAACTTATCATAATATTCCAAAAAAATAAAATAAAATAAGAATGACACTAGAAGAAGCATGATGCAAAACTGTTATACAATTATTTCTTACCATTTTCTTCGACTTGGTAAGAGCACAACCAGCTATATTGTAAGTATATGTGTGACGATTCTCGATTACTTTTACCGTACGTACTCTGCCATCTTTATCAGCTGCGCTATAAGCGTTTATACACTTAGTTATTATACATTCTGTCTAATACTTTGCAGTAATCCCAGTCAATAACATGATTTTCCTATATAGCATGGTCTGTGATTGCCGATTTTTTGACCTGGTATTCCGCTTTTTGGGGTAAATTTGTTTCTGTATCTTTCCGGGGTTCACAGAGTCGGAATTCCAAACATCTTTAGTATCTCAGATATAGGACGCGTCAAAGTTCTGTGCACGCATTCTGCTACGTTTAACGCGTTTTTATCCTTAGGATGTACAAGGTTATTGTGAAGTGTTTTGTGGGTGTTAACGGCTGCTGCTATGCCACAGCCGCTATATACTCTCTTGATCATTTCGGATATTAGTATATGAGATGACATCCTGACTTTTCATTGTGCTCTTATCCTTGATTGGCATTTCTTGTTCTTTACTTTGATGTGATTCTGCTGTTGTATTCCTTTGGATTTGTGAGGCTTTATCACATATGTTAAGCAACGTGCGTACTGCGCCCAACGTATGGATGGTGAGATTTGGTGTTCAGATATTGGTCCGTAGGGGTCTTTTAATAGACCACTACCTTCACGGTCCGTTAGATATCCAGGGGTTACGCTCAACTACGCCTAGGCACACCTGGAATATGTCATAGCAAAATTCAGGAGGTACACCTCTGAGAAGTCAAACATTTCCTGTATTAAACTTTTTTTCTTATCTTGAATTTTGGAAAAAGGAGTTAATGGCATAGTAGAAAATACAAAAATACATATGTCCGTGTGTTCGTTTTTGTGCTATGATCGGTCAAAGATACCAATTTAACACAACATGTGATTTAAGGTGTTTTTTTGGGGTTTTGACCATTTGCGGAACAAATTCATACAATTTCTTCCAAGTGTGTTATCAGATATGTATGAATGTTTGTAGAATTGATAAAAATATTATTTTCTTTTACATTATGGAAGTAAAATTTCTTAATCTTATTCTTTTAACTCAGAAAGCCGATTTTAGTTACCCCTACCCCCTATTTTTTAATGAAAAAATACTATTTTTTTACCATTTTTTGCAGATTAAACGCTTGATTCATTAAATATTATAAAAAGTTCTGGTATTAAACTTTTTTTAATATTTAATGAATTAAAAGAAAATGTGTTTTTACCTCTTTCTAAAACATCCACAAAAATGGGGGGTCGGTGTGCTTCTTTTTTTGTCCCATTATCATTTGTGTTATTTTTTACCTTTTTCGGGGTCAAAAATCAAAAGTGCTTCAGTTACACTAAAATTTTGTTTTTTTATCAATAATGTATAATTTTCAAGTTTATTGCATATTTTTTTTATCATATTAAACATTATAAAGTTGTACAGCAAAATAGAACCTGATATAATTAAAAATGGCGACACAATGACAACTTAAGTGATCAATCTAGTGTCTAAAAAGGTGAATTTTTTGCCTTTTTTGAAGCCCAAGAAATTCACATTAATACACATTTTCAAAATGGCCGCCGAATAGGTATTCTTTTTAAATTCTCGTAAAAAAAGTGCTACAAACAACAGACATCTAGTTTTTTGACATGTTTTTCAAATGCGTGTTTGCTAATAAACTTGATCATAATTTGTTAAATATTACAAAAACCCGTTACACCAGATCAAAACGAGACTTGAACGTGATTGAAACCTCAGAAGAGTACATCCTTAAAGGTAAGCGGCTAGCTCTTTAATTGGTCTCGGGTAAAAAAAAAATACTGTCCAATCGCTGGGCTAATGACTGTCCTTTGAATATTACAGAGGAGCGACACAAAACTTCAGAATAAATTAAGTTTACCGTTACACGGCCGCAACATTCGATGTACATCCTGTGGCGCGGAGAGCGTAGGTTAGCGTAATCCCATATAGTTTCGAGGATTGGTTTCGTTGCATTTCTTTACCAACAGAGTGGCTAGGAATGGCTTCGTGCCGTTGGTTTCTCCCTCGCGTGTGAATTTGATGCTGTTTGTGACATATATGGTGTTGATATGGTTGTTCATATCCTCCTATGGCCCTTTCATGATTATAAATAGCATGGCGTTCTTACACTCTATGGAGGCAGTGGTTATTGATTCGTGCTCCAGATGTAATTAACAAATTGGCCACAATGGGAGACACTGGTCTACCCATAGCAGCGCTGAATTAAGTGTTGCTGATAGATGGTATCTCAGAAACATAAATATGTAGTTGTCCGCACATATTCCAGTAAATCCATGACGTCTGAATCTGGAGATTTGTGTTTTAGGCCAGAATCTGCTAATTCTAAGCATCTTTGAATCATTCTAAGAGCATCGTCAATTGTAGGTAAAGAGAGAGAGGGCATCATGAGAAATGAATCCAAAGTCTCTCTGAATCAGGATCGTGGACAAAGTTTCCGCGAAATGTTTAGTTCTTGCAACTGACATGTTGTTCCGATTTACCGACCAGCGGTATAAGAATGTTTGTTAAAGAAAAGCGTAGCGTAGCGTTTTGTTGGTTTGACTTGTCATTTCGTACATGTATAACAACTACATGGTTTTGGCGATTTTATATTTTGGTATCTCGTACATGTTTTGTACACCTTTGTGTACATACCCTTCGCCGGCCGTACGTACCGTACTAGTCGTTGAAACGTCACCCAAATACTTAGATGGTTGTGCTACATGGTCCTTCTACCATTCACGCCAAACACTGGCAATACCTGATTTCTACTGTCCTTTCATAGTCCAAAAAAACATACAAAACCTGGCTCTTCGAAAGGCTTCTCAGAATTGCCCAGGTTTCAACATCATCAACCATGACCCGCTCCACTATGACTCATTTTCTGACTTTTGGTACGTAAGGAATCGTGTCATACTTTAGTTTTGCTCAAAACCCCAATACCACTACTCACACCACCACTCACACCACTACTCACACAGCCACTCACACAGCGACTCACACCACTACTCACACAGCCACTCGCACAGCCACTCACACCACTACTCACCCCACCACTCACACAGCTACTCACACCCCCACTCACACCACTACGCACACAGCCACTCACCCAGCCACTCACACCACTACTCACACCACCCCTCACACAGCTACTCACCCCCCCCCTCACACCACCACTCACACAGCCTCTCACACCACTACTCACACAGCCACTCGCACAGCCACTCACACCACTACTCACACCACCGCTCACACCACTACTCACACAGCCACTCACACAGCCCCTCACACCACTACTCACACCACCACCCACACAGCTACTCACACCACCACTCACACCACTACACACACAGCCACTCACACAGCCACTCCCACCACCACTCACACAGCCACTCACACCGCCACTCACACCACCACTCACCCAGCCACTCACACAGCCACTCACACAGCCACCCACACCACTACTCACACAGCCACTCGCACAGCCACTCACACCACTACTCACCCAGCCCCTCACACAGCCACTCACACCACTACACACACAGCCACTCACACAGCCACTCCCACCACCACTCACACCACCACTCACACTACCCCTCACACCACCCCTCACACAGCCACTCACACAGCCACCCACACCACTACTCACACAGCCACTCGCACAGCCACTCACACCACTACTCACACCACCACCCACACAGCCACTCACACCACCACTCACACAACAACTCACACCACCACTCACACCACAACTCACACCACCACTCACACCACCACTCACACTACCCCTCACACCACCACTCACACAGCCACTCACACCACTACTCACACAGTCACTCACACCACCACTCACACAGTCACTCACACCACCACTCACACCTCCACTCACACCACTACTCACACCACCACTCACACCACAACTCACACCACCACTCACACCACCACTCACACAGCCCCTCACACCACCACTCACACCACCACTCACACTACTACTCACACCACCACTCACACAGCCACTCACACAACAACTCACACCACTACTCACACAACCACTCACACAGCCACTCACACAGCCACTCACACCACCACCCACACAACAACTCACACCACCACTCACACCACAACTCACACCACCACTCACACCACCACTCACACCACTACTCACACCACCACTCACACCACTACTCACACAGCCACTCACACCACCACTCACACAGCCACTCACACAGCCGCTCACACCACCACTCACCCCACCACTCCCACAACAACTCACACCACCACCCACCCAGTCACTCACCCCACCACTCACCCAGCCACTCACACAGCCACTCCCACAGCCACTCACACAGCAACTCACACAACAACTCACCCCATTACTCACACCACAACCCACACCCCCACTCACACAACAACCCACACCATTACTCACACAGCCACTTACACCACCACTCACACAGCCTCTCACACCACCACTCACCCAGCCACTCACACCCCCACCCACACCGCCACTCACACCCCCACCCACACCGCCACTCACACCACTCCCCGCACAGCCACTCACACCACTGCTCACACAGTCACTCACACCACCACTCACACAACAACTCACACCATTACTCACACAACAACTCACACCATTACTCACACCACAACTCACACCACCACTCACACCACCACTCACACTACTACTCACACCACCACTCACACAGCCACTCACACCACTACTCACACCACCACTCACACCACTACTCACACCGCCACTCACACACCCACTCACACCACCACTCACACACACACTCCCCCCCCCCCTCACACCACTACTCACACAGCCACTCACACAGCCACTCACACCACCACTCACACACCCACTCACACCACCACTCACACACACACTCACACCACCACTCACACCACTACTCACACAGCCACTCACACAGCCACTCACACCACTACTCACACAGCCACTTACACCACCACTCACACAGCCACTCACACCGATACTCACACCGTCACTCACACATCCACTCACACCACTACTCACACCACCACTCACACATCCACTCACACCACCACTTACACCACCACCACTTACACCACCACCACCACCACCACTCACACAGCCACTCACACCACCACTCACACAACACTCACACAGCCACTATTTATGAACACAATTTACTTTCTCACGCACCCATCAAAACTTTATCATCCTACGCCTCACAACTGTTGACACACCAGAGTTCCTCTATATTGATGGCAATCTATACCACACCCAATTGTCACACTCTCAACTTCCCACATGCGCACTTACTACTTTCTACCGAATATGTCGTTCACTTTGCTTTATCTTCTTTTGTCAAATCATCTTGTATTTCGGCGATTATCTTCAACATCAACAACAACAACATCAACAACAACATCAACAACAACAAAGAGTGTGTGAAGTCCCGTTGAGACTTAATGTTTGTTGAGAATTTACTGTTCCTGTATAAATGGAGTGTCAACATATAACCTACTTCTTATTGAGTACTTAACATAATCTCCTTGGTTCCTTACGATTGTCTGAATGGACAAATGGTACTTTTGCCTTGTTCGAATACCTTGTCGATGTTCTGTCAGGTCTGATACATTTTACGTTCCTCCTAGACAAGTACAAAAAGAATATTTAACACATTTCTATTCTCCATTGTCCTCAGTAAAGAAAATGCCTCTCCTCATTCCTCCTTGTATGGTGACACTGTGCTCATTCTTCCTTGTATGGTGACACTATGCTCATTCTTCCTTGTATGGTGACACTCTCCTCATTCTTCCTTGTATGGTGACACTATGCTCATTCTTCCTTGTATGATGACACTATGCTCATTCTTCCTTGTATGGTAACACTATGCTCATTCTTCCTTGTATGATGACACTATGCTCATCCTTCCTTGTATGGTGACACTATGCTCATTCTTCCTTGTATGGTGACACTGTGCTCGTTTTCGGAAGTATCGGCTACTGATACGAGGTTACATCTCCATGTATAGAAATTTGTCAAAAGGTTAAAAAGAGGAGAAATCGTATTCAAGTCTTTATCTGAATCTGGTATATAGCAGTTAGTTATTAGCAGGTAACGTTAATAATAACCAGCATTTGACATGGTGATTTTCGTTGTTTGTCTACTATCTCCGGAGAAAGTACTACCACAAGACAACCATCCTTGTCGAATCAACCACTGGGTCAGATTGTGAACTCCTCACGAGTACATTTTCCCTGACCACGGGACAATTGTCACTTATGTAGATTCTTTCCCACTGTAAAAATCGATTGGTCAATTATTTTCTATTCTCATTTAACTCCAACAAACCTCCCAATTATCCAACCAACACAGTAAATCTGTATCTTCTACAAGAGTACAGAGTACAACATTGTCAACACATCCTTACTTGTTGGTGAGCCATCGTGGGTATTTCTATGTTCTGAAATTAGGACGATTAAAAGATGATAGGAATTAAATTTGAAAATGAGAAAGTTGTGAAAATACTCAAAGATGAATAAGCAACCAAATCTCAAAGTATTCGGCTAATAAAAAGCAAGAGGCCCATGGGCCTTAACGGTCACCCGAGTCCTACAGTATTTATTTTTGTTGTTGAAATATGTGCCAATTTGAGTAAAAAATAGTTAAGTATAACGTTAACTTAAGTTTGTCAGGACCATGAGCTGATCATTCCTAGACCGAGTTTCAGTTAAATCGGCCTAATAGAACTTGTTTTTAAGTTTGAAATAGTTATTTTCAAAAAAGCGGCCGTGGCAGCCAAATTGTATTTCTGATTGACCCGAAAAAAACAAATTTGTCAGGACCATACGTCGATCATTCCTACCAAGCTTCAGTTCAATCGGCCCAGCAGAATTGACTTTAAGTTTGAAATAGTTTTTCAAAATGGCGGCCGTGGCGGCCATATTGGATTTCTGATCGACCCGAAAAATAACAACACTTGGTCAGGGAGATGTCAGTAACCTTCCCATGAAATATTAATGAAATCCCTTTGCCAGTATTTCAGCTTAAGTTGAAAATGTAAAATGTTAACAGACGACGGACGAAGGTGGATAGCAATAGGTCACTTGAGCTAAAGCTCAGGTGACCTAAAAACCAGCGGAAAATTAAGCAAACCCAACATGGAAATGTACAGTTTGTCAATGGAAAACTGAAAAGATATCACAGATTTATCAGTGCTATACGCTAAAAAGGAAGTGTATTCATCGACGGAAATCACCGAGCAATGAGGCTAGTGGGTGTTTTTTCAGGAGGCCCATAGCATTATGAATGGAAAGAAGCCTTAGACTAAGTTTTCGGTAAAGAGAGTATGTAAGTACACTAAGGAAAGGCATTCGGTACAGAACCGCGCGATAGACTGATAAGCCCAAGGTGCAAGGAATCAATGGAGATATTCTTGCATTAAATATATCTGGTGGTTAATTTACAGGTAGAGACATTTGAAGACGTCACAAAAATGTCAAAAATTAAGATCAATAGAAAACACGGAGTTTTACTGGTAGTAAATCCACTTGAAATTTGCCAGAGAAGTAGAACTTGGTTACCCTTGGTAGGGGAAACAGGGATGTTACTATCAAGAAAGGGAACTCTCACGCAACGGACTGATGTGGGAAGGTCTGTAGTGTCCTTGATTCCAGGTTTAGAAGGGTATACAGCTCGATTTGGTCAATACATTTCTTGTTACTTTAAGACAAGACATCTTCGATATATATGTATCTGAAAGTGAAATTGGAGGACGTGGCAAGGTTTTCTTTAACAGTTCCAATTACCTCTTCAGTGAATTCATCTCAATGTGAAAACAAAAGTAAGTCTTCTCCAGGAGACTGGAAAATCTTGCAATGTGTTGTCATTTATCATCCTAAGTGTGTCGTATTTTTCACACCAAAAAAACTTCCAAATATTAATTCAACATAAATAATGTATCTCTTCACCACGATCTGTAAATCTAAGTCATTCAAATGTTACTGATCACTTTGTGTACAACGATCTGTAGATATATAAAGTTGTGGCTATTCTATAAACAAGAAAACACACTATATCCCAATGTAAGTTTAATAAGAAATTAATAAAAGCATACAAGAAACAGCTGTGTCCAACAGTTGACCACACGAATACAGCCCACAGTACGATACAGCCATACCAAGATCACCAAATTGTATAATTAAAATATTTAAAGGAAGTCAGCAGGATTTCTAAGTAATTTGATTACATCATTAAAATAATACATTAGAAATTGTAAAAGTCATGAGAAGTATATGAGGTAAAAAAAATACAAACTCAATAATCAATAATAAAACAACATCCGTAATTGTACTACACTTACAAACAAAATCCTAGTATAAATTAAGATATAACATGTTTTATACAATAATAAAAACCAGTCTGGAATTGTGAAGAAATGATACAAGGGACATTAAAAATGCCACGGATAGAGATGTTAGTTATGGAGTAGTATACCTACTCTAATTATATATTAACTCTTATTGGTATTAGTCTTATCAAGGTCAGTGTTGTAGTTTTGAAGCCTCTGTTCAATGGTACCCTCCCTATACCTGTACTTTTTAACTATTGGGACAGCCACGTGGCACATTTACTATCAACTACGTGAAAGAACTTTGTAAAACCTCAGCCTTGAATTTTTCCTTGTGTAACAGACCTGGTAGGCCTATCCGTAGCTATTCTGAGACGATTATAATTAGAGTGAGATTAATGTAAACTACATTGTTTGACATTAAGTCTGGTATTGGACTGATGTTTCCACGGACAACAGTATACAGCATAGAACAACCGCCGTCGGTAGTGTTTACTTTATTTTATCAGTCTAATCGATTTGTCGCTTAATCCTGTTGTTGTTCAGTTCTCTGTAGGATACATCATCATCTGTTTCAACAATTATTTAACAGTTATACGTATTTCTGAAGATATACACGTGTATGTAGCGAAAGTTTAAAACTTTCTTGAATTATAGATAATGTTCATGATGTATACTGTCATGTGCTCCTCCCTTCCAGCTCTCAAGCTTAGAACATTGTTCATGCATGTAAATTAATAAAGATATCATTTTCCAATCAATTTATGGAAATCAATTAATGATAAACCAATTAAAGATAAACCAATACTGCAGAGAGTTACTAGGCATTTACTGGGCATTCAAGAATACCTTGGGCCATAATAATTATTTTTTGGAGTGACCAACATAAAACGTCTTGGCATCTCAATAGTTGGTTTTGCTATTCTTTTGATATGTCATGCCAAATATATATGGCGCAAGAGTTAGATAGGACATTTCAAAGTTCTAATACAGGCTTTTGTTCCTATTCCCATGGGATACAAAAATTATCCCTTAGTAGGATTTTTCAATTATTTTTTCTGTTAAGGTACGATATCATATTCTGCTGCAATTAGTTTGATGTTTTGGCAATTGTTTCCTATAAAATGTCGGAGATTTCCAATAAAATACAGGCATGACAACACCGTATTTGGTCCCTTATAAACCAGTTCAGCAGATGTAATACTGAGTAACTATGTAGACATTAAACACTTGACATTTATCTCATTCAATGTGGTGATTTCATGTAATCGTACAAGTACATAAAGGATTCTCAGAACTTTTGATTAAAGTATGAAAAAAAATCATATAAAAATGAGTAATACGTACTAGGGAATGTATGTATCGGAGATGTCAGTAAAACCAAGGTCCTATAAATACACCAATATCACACAGACATAATGTAAACCTAATAATCTAGTTAATGGCAATAATAAAATCTACACAACCAGTCTGTACAATATAACCCCTTCACCTGGACATGATGGCTGGCCCTTAGTATTACACTGACTTTATTGGACTAGTTAACTCGGGACGATATTTTTTCGTCCTGTAAATTGCGGGTGACATTTTCGAGAACATGTACTACCCTTTACTATTTAAAGGGTCCTGGTCGGGGGAAAAATACAAAATAAATGGGTCTAAATGCGTTTTCTGGCCTTCCAAAAGTTAGACCACGGCAATATGATGGTCGAGTTCTGCTTGCAATGTCCAGTTTTGACCACTGAAATCTCGGGGAAGCCCCGCGTAAATTTAGCGCATATCTATTTATATATGTCACGTGGTTGTTTCGAAAGTGAGGCAGTGAAGATAACAACAATAGCACGCCGTCATGTGCCATGTCGGACTCAACTAGTGGACAAGACAGCAATACTATACGTAAATAATTGTTTTCAAAGGTCATGTATGATGCAAGTGTAATATTCCTACCTATGCGTTGTTGTTATATATAACGGTATTGATACCTCGTGGCTGTCATGACTTTTGCATGCATCTTTTTCTTTCGCCACGATGTTTGCATTTGACCTTGTTGATGACGCGCGTTCGGTAAATTTACATCACTGATCTGGGTCAATTGAGAGTTTTAGACTGTCAGGTGACGATTAAGGATTTCTTTAATATAATTATATTTTTTACACTTATTGAGTGAATTTCAGCAAAATTTGAATCGGTATATTTCATAAGAAGGTATTTTAAGCATGTGTATGCCATTTTAGCAAATATGACATTTTTTCCCCGACCAACCCCTCTAACATTCTGATGTTTGTGTCAACAGGCCAACATGTCCGACTGATGAGGCTACACTATACTTCATAACAAGTATAACTATATCAGAAGTATATAACATGTATCTCACACCGTCAATCAATATACAGTCACAGCACTCTCTATTGTTACAGTCAGAGCACTCTCTATTGTTACAGCTTCAGCACTCTCTATTGTTACAGTCACAGCACTCTCTATTGTTACAGCTTCAGCACTCTCTAGTGTTACAGCTTCAGCACTCTCTATTGTTACAGCTTCAGTACTCTCTAGTGTTACAGCTTCAGCTCTTTCCAATATTACAGCTTCAGCACTCTCTATTGTTACAGCTTCAGCACTCTCTATTGTTACAGCTTCAGCACTCTCTATTGTTACAACTTCAGCTCTTTCCAATATTACAGCTTCAGCACTCTCTATTGTTACAGCTTCAGCACTCTCTATTGTTACAGCTTCAGCACTCTCTATTGTTACAACTTCAGCTCTTTCCAATATTACAGCTTCAGCACTCTCTATTGTTACAGCTTCAGCACTCTCTATTGTTACAGCTTCAGCACTCTCTATTGTTACAGCTTCAGCTCTTTCCAATATTATAGCTGAAGCACTAAACAATACGGACACATTCTGACAACTTCGTATAAAAACGTCATTGAACACGGTAACAGATTGTGGTGATCTGTTTAAAAAAAGTACAGTACTATTTATCCCAACAAACTTTGAAAACAGAAAATCTGCTTTAGATTGAGATATTTCGCATCAAAAACAATCTTATATATGAAACGTCTATTCAATATAAATTCTAAATTCTTCTAAATTTGTATAATCAGTCCAAAGATATAACATTCTTTCAGAAACACCTAATCTCAATTTTCCTGTAAAAAGCTAAGTACAAATAACTGTAAGATGGTTCTTGACTAAGACGTAACGTCACAGATACCGCCCTTTGCTACTGGCATCATATAAAACTTCACTTTTGTAGCATCTAACAGAATGGAAGTCCATCAGTATTTTTCACCTTTTACTACTGGCATAATACAACACTTTTCTACCGTCCAACTAAATGGAAGACCATCAGACAGTAGAATCCGCCCTAACCCACTGTCAATACAAAACTTCACAGATATTAACCCTTTCACCCCAAGTAACTTAAGAAGACTCTACCATGAACTTATCTGGAAGAGTTCAGAAGTAAAAGGGTTAATCGTCAGTGTCATTGCCAGCGTATTCCGTGACCTTTACACAAGGTTGTCGTCATGGTGTTCGGATGAGTAGGCGGGGTTGTTGATAGTGACAGATCTAGTGTTGGAGTGAGCCATGGCCCCTGGAGGTGGGGCATACAGTCTACTACCCGTTGCCTCTGTATAGGAGAGGCGATGCCCCTGATGATGGCCCTCCCCCATGGTGGTGCCGTTTCCCTCGGGGGCTGCTAGGAACTTAACGCTGAGTGCGTTAGACGTCAGCTGCTCGTCTCTCTGCTTCTGCAGTGTCTGTCTCAGAGTGCGGCGTTTCTGTGGATATACGAAGTCACTGTGGTTACAAGCAGTCTTTCTAACTAATCAAAGAACTGACGTAAAACTTAAATATAATGCCAATAGTCGATATATCTTTATAGCCAATATTGACCTCGTTTAGAATCATCAGATCAAGCCCTAATTATATATCTCTTATTACTTTTACTGCTGTTACACTGATTTTATCAAAGCATGTGGCGGTTTTCGATATCCAAGTGATACAACATCCAGATCGTCAACACTTTTATAATACCTTGCTTTGAACATGTAAAAAAGATTTCACCTTTATCAACCATTCTAGATAGACATTAAATTCGATTATTCCTTCCATTAAATAGTTACATCTTGCGAACAACTGATTAAGGAAGAAAGACACTGTTTCTTAGTCACCGTGGAAGTAAGAGGACAAACGCCGGTCTTGTATGAACAAGAAGGTGACATCATTTCGTTCAGCTATGTAACGCACATATGCAGTTTCTGTTGTATGATGTGTGGAGCAAGCTAGCACCAGATGAGCATACACGAAAGCATTAAGGGATGATCTTGAGGGATTACTTTTGCCCCCGTTCTATTCCGATATTAGTGATTGTTCTATGTAAGCCAATGCTTACTAGAAAGGTGAGGTAAGGAAGCCTCCATATATAAATGTACTAAGTCTATAGAGAAAGCCAAGCAATACCAACATTTACTGTACCTTACGGCCATTTACTGTACCTGTACCGTACGGCCATTTCTTCCGTCTGGGACTCACCAGTGGTAGGAAGGTTAAAAGAATGAAAATCCAAACCTACCGTGGTCTGAATCGTGTAGAAATACAGAAAACTATTCGAATTGTCAGGGAAACGTAAGGGAACAAGGCCATTTAACATGTGAGCATGTTGGTAAGCATGACCTATGTCGGACAGAACTTACCATTAATACAACCAAGTCACACCAGCGTCTCAATATAAGTGATTCACCTTTATATCGGTCGTCTTAAACAGTATATCAGTTGTTCGATAAACCAAATGGTAAAGGACGGAAAATACATGTCCCGATTTATTGGTTTGAATGGTTGATAACGGTGAACGGGTTGTTATTCGTGGACTTGATCAAACCGACAAATTTGGTCATCAGTATAATGAACAGCTGTGTTCTTGAAAACCCGCTCATTGATATAAATAGAACAGTAACGTGTCGGGGACAACGAGAGACATCCGAGAGTACCATTGTTATCAAGTGTTTTGAAGCGTCATCGCTTTCTACTATTTCCCCGTGAACGAGATCACATGTCTAGCCAAAGGGTATTGTAGGCTTCCGGAATACTTCTATACAAAACAATGCTACGATCTTTAATTGTCGATACAAGTGGACCTATCTAGGTTGTGGTTGATGCGCTCAGGGAAGTTTTTTTCCCCAATAAGGAAACTCCTAGTAAATCAAAACGACAGCCGATGTCAATTTACTTGATACGTGAAAGTGAAAGTCGGCTGACAAGATGAATAAATGTCAAGGACATGGAGTGTTAAGGTTCTGTTGAGGTCACGATAGACAATGTCAGTGGAACAGGTACACACGTCAAGGTCTAATCGTGTTAAAGGTGATTGTTTTGGTTGATTTTTGTGATGATGACTACGTGTGTCACATTTTTATTTCAAGTGAAAAACAAAATCAGTGAAAGGAATAAAAGAAGAAGGAACAAAGTCAGTGATAACGGCAAGTTTGGCATATATAACTGCAATTCCGTTAACTGCAATTGCGTTTCCTGCAATGGTCACTGTTTTCAAAAACATATATATATATGTGAACAAGTGGCAATGTCAAATTGCCATACTATTGACACATCAGACAAATAAGAACAGACTACGTATCGTTTTGGCAAACATTTTAATTACTGTGCATCTTAAAGTAGTACAAATCGTACAGATGACAAACATTCGATGAGTAAGGACATGGGAACAAACATCCTCGGAGACGGGACACGGAGACAAACATCCTCGGAGCGGGACATGGGAACAAACATCCTCGGAGACGGGACACGGAGACAAACATCCTCGGAGACGGGACATGGGGACAAACATCCTCGGAGATGGGACATGGGGACAACCATCCTCGGAGATGGGACATGGTGACAAACATCCTCGGAGACGGGACAAGGGGACAAACATCCTCGGAGACGTGACATGGTGACAAACATCCTCGGAGACGGGACATGGGGACAACCATCCTCGGAGACAGGACATGGTGACAAACATCCTCGGAGACGGGACATGGTGACAAACATCCTCGGAGACGGGACATGGTGACAAACATCCTCCGAGACGGGACATGGGGACAACCATCCTCGGAGATGGGACACGGAGACAAACATCCTCGGAGACGGGACATGGGAACAAACATCCTCGGAGACGGGACATGGTGACAAACATCCTCGGAGATGGGACATGGGGACAACCATCCTCGGAGACGGGACATGGTGACAAACATCCTCGGAGACGGGACATGGTGACAAACATCTTCGGAGACGGGATATGGGGACAAACATTCTCGGAGAAGGGACATGGTGACAAACATCCTCGGAGACGGGACATGGGGACAAACATCCTCGGAGACGGGACAAGGGGACAAACATCCTCGGAGAAGGGACATGGGGACAAACATCCTCGGAGACGGGACATGGTGACAAACATCCTCGGAGACGGGACAAGGGGACAAACATCCTCGGAGACGGGACATGATGACAAACATCCTCGGAGATGGGACATAGGGACAGGGACATTTACTTCAAACAGACTGTATCTGTTCATAGTTTTATCTTGATAAGCGATACACTTGGTTTTCCCAGTGGTGTAAGGTTTAAGATGAGGCGGTACATGTGTGACCAGCAGTTACAAGTGACCACACGTACGAGGAGACCAAACTTATACTAAGAATCTATATGTTTGTCATATACAGGGAGTAAAATCTCTAAATTAAAGTAGGCCAAACACAGGGTGTGAGATCTCTGGATTAAAGTAGGCCAAACACAGGGTACGAGATCTCTGGATTAAAGTAGACCAAACACAGGGTGTGAGATCTCTGGATTAAAGTAGACCAAACACAGGGTACGAGATCTCTGGATTAAAGTAGCCCAAACACAGGGTACGAGATCTCTAGATTAAAGTAGGCCAAGCACATGGTGCGAGATCTCTTGAATAAAGTAAACCAAACACAGGATGCGATATCTCTAGATTAAAACAGACTGGATTAAAGTAGACCATGCAAGCACACGGTGTGAGATCTCTGGATTAAAGTAGGCCAAACATAGGGTATGAGATCTCTATATAAAAGTAGGTCAAACACATGGTGTGAGATCTCTTGATTAAAGTAGGTCAAACACAGGGTACGAGATCTCTAGATAAAAGTAGGCCAAACACATCGTGTTTGAGTACTACTGGATAAAGTAGGTCAAACAGTTTAGAGATCTCTGGATTAATTTCATACACGCAGTGTGAGATCTCTTGATTAAGTAGGTCATACAGGGTGTGAGAACTTGGATTCAACACAGGGTGAGATAATAAAAAAACATCTGGATTTGAAGTCCATACACAGGTTGTGCAATCTCTGGATTAAAGTAGGTCTTACATGTGTTTTGAGATCTCTGAAATAAAGTAGGCCAAACACAGGGTACAAGATCTCTTGATTAAATATGTCAAACACAGGGTGTGAGATCTCTGGATTAAAGTAGGTCAAACACAGGGTATAATATCTCTGAATTTAAGTAGGCCAAACAGGGTATAATATCTCTTGATTAAATATGTCAAACACAGGGTGGGAGATCTCTGGATTAAAGTAGGTCAAACACAGGGTATGATATCTCTGGATTAATGTAGGTCAAACACAGGGTGTGATATCTCTGGATTAAAGTGGTCACATGGTTTGATATCTCTGGATTAATGTAGGTCAAACACAGGGCGTGAGATCTCTGGATTAAAGTAGGTCAAACACAGGGTATAATATCTCTGAATTTAAGTAGGCAAAACACAGGGTACAAGATCTCTTGATTACATATGTCAAACACAGAGTGTGAGATCTCAGGATTAAAGTAGGTCAAACACAGGGTGTGATATCTCTGGATTAAAGGTGTGATATCTCTGGATTAAAGAAGGTCAAAGACAGGGTGTGATATCTCTGGATTAAAGTAGGTCAAACACAGGGTGAGATAATAAATAAAACATCTGAATTTGAAATACCATACACAGGTTGTGCAATATCTGGATTAAAGTAGGTCTTACATGTGTTTTTGATATCTCTGGATTAATGTAGGTCAAACACAGGGCGTGAGATCTCTGGATTAAAGTAGGGCAAACACAGGGTATAATATCTCTGAATTTAAGTAGGCAAAACACAGGGAACAAGATCTCTTGATTACATATGTCAAACACAGAGTGTGAGATCTCTGGATTAAAGTAGGTCAAACACAGGGTGTGATATCTCTGGATTAAAGGTGTGATATCTCTGGATTAAAGAAGGTTAAACACAGGGTGTGATATCTCTGGATTAAAGTAGGTCAAACACAGGGTGAGATAATAAATAAAACATCTGAATTTGAAATACCATACACAGGTTGTGCAATATCTGGATTAAAGTAGGTCTTACATGTGTTTTGAGATCTCTGGAATATAGTAGGCCAAACACAGGGTACAAGATCTCTTGATTAAAGTAGGTCAAACACAGGGTGTGATATCTCTGGATTAATGATATATCTCATACTGCAATTGGCAGTTCAAGTAGGAAATATTTTTATATTTATTTCTTAATGGATGTAAAAATAATATATATATAGACACATTTTCAACTCTATTAAATACTCCTCACAATACACACCACTTGCCCATCCATACCAAATATCTAACATCTAAATTGTCAACACTTCTTATATCTGGGATATTTAAAACATTATGTATTAAATAAATATCACATTTATAATAGAAAATACAATCTGAATAAATAGAACAAAACATTTCTTTGTAAAAGTGACACAGGGAATGGACATTATCTAAAACATATGTAAAATCACAAAGGGAACTATTAGGTGTGCAATATATAATCACAAAGGGCACTGTCAGATGGGTCATGTTATAAAAAAAATAAACTTATATACATTATGTATGCATTACCAATAACATCTTTACTTTATAATTAGACTGTATTTATTCCTGATAACATCTTGTATATGTTATATATATTTCTTCATTACTGATAACAACTTATAGATATATACTTTATAATTATGCTATATTTATGATCAATAATACATTGTATATACTTTATAATAAGACTATACTTATAAGTGATGACACCTGATAAAAACTATATAATGAGACTTTATTTATGATCAATAATAACTTGTATAACAACTAGACTATAGTTATCAGTGATGACACCTGATAAAAACCATATAATTAAACTGTATTTATGACCAATAACACATTGTATATACTGTATAATTAGCTAGACTGTATTTATGACCAATTAAAAATTGTATATACTGTATAATTAGCTAGACCGTATTTAAGACCAATAAAAAATTGTATATACTGTATAATAAGCTAGACTGTATTTAAGACCAATTAAAAATTGTATAAACTGTATAATTAGCTGGACTGTATTAACTTGTATATACTGTATAATTAGCTAGACTGTATTTATGACCAATTATATTTATTATATACTGTATAATTAGACTGTATTTATGACAAATAACAATCTGTGTATATACTTTTTAATAGCGTTTTTGTTATTTTCAGACCAATCCAGTCAATAAAAGAGCAGGTGTTTAGTGTGATGGACATGGTCAATTCTAATGTCACAATACGTTAGATCTGAGGTTTTGTTACTATTGCAGTACCATACAGCATCCCATGTATCTTTGATTATAAAAAATTTTTATATGTTAAACTATAATAAAACATTTTTGGGTATCTTTGAATAACAGCAATGTTTCATTTGGGGGTGAAATATATATTTGGAAGAGTACCAACTATTCATTCTACTAGTGAACTAAGACTATATAATTATCATTTCATAGGATTTAATACTGACATCAGCACACAAACATATGTTAGTATGTATAAACAACTATTTCAATTCTAAGATATCTATATGTAAATGCACAATTTGATATAACTATAAATAGTAACATCAATCAAAGATCCTTTGTTTCATTTTCTTCCTCAAATTGTTGATTTGATGCAGCTTGATTTTCTTCTTTCAAAACTCGAAGGAAATTCCATGATTCCCGCAGTTGTTTCTTTTTCTGCAAGTATACACAACACATATAAGTGACCAGTTTTTATGGTGTTAGGTGCTAGTTTATTTTCCACAGTTTGTTAATTTCATTAACATTCATACCATTAGTATGCTAGTTGTATCAAAATGAAGTTCATCAATCCGAATTATAGTTCTGTTAATAAGCCATCATAAGACCTTTCCCTGTCATAATTGGTTCATTTTCCGGGAGGCTTGTTGTAAAAATGGCCACTCATCTCATTCACACAGCTTTCCAGTAAAAGTAGACTAGTTACATGTACACTTATAAGTAACATTCCAGTAGGTTATAGAAACTAAAACCTTTTCAATAGGTCATAAAAATAATTGGTGAATTTTCCATCAGATATTTGTTATGACCGGTAACAATCCAGTAGAAAGTTGTAGCATCTAACAACATTTCAATAGGCAAGTTGTAGTAACTGGTAACATCACTGTAGGTTAGTTGTAGTAACTGGTAACATCCCAGTAGGTTAGTTGTAGTAACTGGTAACATCCCTGTAGGTTAGTTGTAGTAACTGGTAACATCCCAGTAGGTTAGTTGTAGTAACTAGTAACATTCCAGTAGGTTAGTTGTAGTAACTGGTAACATCACTGTAGGTTAGTTGTAGTAACTGGTAACATCCCAGTAGGTTAGTTGTAGTAACTGGTAACATCCCAGTAGGTTAGTTGTAGTAACTGGTAACATCCCAGTAGGTTAGTTGTAGTAACTGGTAACATCCCAGTAGGTTAGTTGTAGTAACTGGTAACATCCCAGTAGGTTAGTTGTAGTAACTGGTAACATCCCAGTAGGTTAGTTGTAGTAACTGGTAACATCCCAGTAGGTTAGTTGTAGTAACTGGTAACATCCCAGTAGGTTAGTTGTAGTAACTGGTAACATCCCAGTAGGTTAGTTGTAGTAACTGGTAACATCCCAGTAGGTTAGTTGTAGTAACTGGTAACATCCCAGTAGGTTAGTTGTAGTAACTGGTAACATCCCAGTAGGTTAGTTGTAGTAACTGGTAACATCCCAGTAGGTTAGTTGTAGTAACTGGTAACATCCCAGTAGGTTAGTTGTAGTAACTGGTAACATCCCAGTAGGTTAGTTGTAGTAACTGGTAACATTCCAGTAGGTTAGTTGTAGTAACTGGTAACATCCCAGTAGGTTAGTTGTAGTAACTAGTAACATTCCAGTAGGTTAGTTGTAGTAACTGGTAACATCCCTGTAGGTTAGTTGTAGTAACTGGTAACATCCCAGTAGGTTAGTTGTAGTAACTGGTAACATCCCAGTAGGTTAGTTGTAGTAACTGGTAACATCCCAGTAGGTTAGTTGTAGTAACTGGTAACATCCCAGTAGGTTAGTTGTAGTAACTGGTAACATCCCAGTAGGTTAGTTGTAGTAACTGGTAACATCCCAGTAGGTTAGTTGTAGTAACTGGTAACATCCCAGTAGGTTAGTTGTAGTAACTGGTAACATCCCAGTAGGTTAGTTGTAGTAACTGGTAACATCCCAGTAGGTTAGTTGTAGTAACTGGTAACATCCCAGTAGGTTAGTTGTAGTAACTGGTAACATCCCAGTAGGTTAGTTGTAGTAACTGGTAACATCCCAGTAGGTTAGTTGTAGTAACTGGTAACATTCCAGTAGGTTAGTTGTAGGTAGTAACTGGTAACATTCCAGTAGGTCAGTTGTAGTATCTAGTAACATTCCAGTAGGTTAGTTGTAGTAACTTGTATCATCACTGTAGGTTAGTTGTAGTAACTGGTAACATTCCAGTAGGTTAGTTGTAGTAACTGGTAACATGCCTGTAGGTTAGTTGTAGTAACTGGTAACATCACTGTAGATTAGTTGTAGTAACTGGTAACATCCCGGTAGGTTAGTTGTAGTAACTGGTAACATCCCAGTAGGTTAGTTGTAGTAACTGGTAACATGCCTGTAGGTTAGTTGTAGTAACTGGTAACATTCAAGTAGGTTTGTTGTAGTAACTGGTAACATCCCTGTAGGTTAGTTGTCGTAACTGGTAACATACCAGTAGGTTAGTTGTAGTAACTGGTAACCTTCCAGTAGGTTAGCTGTAGTAACTGGTAACATCCCTGTAGGTTAGTTGTAGTAACTGGTATCATCCCTGTAGGTAAGTTGTAGTAACTGGTAACATACCAGTAGGTTAGCTGTGGTAACTGGTAACATCCCTGTAGGTTAGTTGTAGTAACTGGTAACATACCAGTAGGTTAGATGTAGTAACTGGTAACATCCCTGTAGGATAGTTGTAGTAACTGGTAACATCCCAGTAGGTTAGTTGTAGTAACTGGTATCATCCATGTAGGTAAGTTGTAGTAACTGGTAACATCACTGTAGGTTAGTTGTAGTAACTGGTAAAATATCAGTAGGTAAGTTGTGGCCAGTGGTAACATTCCTGTAGATTAGTTGTAGGAACTGGAAACGTTCCAGTAGGTTAGTTGTAGTAACTGTGATTATTACTGTAGGTTAGTTGTAGTAACTGGTAAAATATCAGTAGGTAAGTTGTGGCCAGTGGTAACATTCCTGTAGATTAGTTGTAGGAACTGGAAACATTCCAGTAGGTTAGTTGTTGTAACTGGTAACATATCAGTAGGTTAGTTGTAGTAACTGGTAACATCACTGTAGGTTAGTTGTAGTAACTGGTAAAATATCAGTAGGTAAGTTGTGGCCAGTGGTAACATTCCTGTAGATTAGTTGTAGGCACTGGAAACATTCCAGTAGGTTAGTTCTAGTAACTGGTAACATTCCAGTAGGTTAGTTGTAGTAACTGGTAAAATATCAGTAGGTAAGTTGTAGCCAGTGGTAACATTCCTGTAGATTAGTTGTAGGAACTGGAAACATTCCAGTAGGTTAGTTGTAGTAACTGGTAACATTCCAGTAGGTTAGTTGTAGTAACTGGTAATATTCAAGTAGGTTAGTTGTAACTTGAAACATTAGGTTACTTATTCAATTACAACAAGAGGCCTATATGGCCTGTATTGCTTGCCTGGATATTTAAGCAATACTGGGAATTATTTTCATAAAACTTCTTTTTATAGCAAAATTATATGAAGAGTGATACTGTATCTAACTTAGGACTAAAGGACTAAGTCCACATGGGCAACTAATGAGTGTATCTGTCTGTCCATGTCCAGCAATTGTATACATGTATATGGTTACAGATCATTGATCTCAAACATTTCCATGTTATGACTCAGGGACTAAATCAAGAATGGTGGGGCCAGACCATAGTGCTAACTTTAATAGCATTATTGTATCGTCTCTTGATGTCCAGTGCTTGTATTTATGGTTGCAGGGTAGGGATCAATTATTTCAATGTTATGACCAAGGAACTAAAATCCTGTGGGAGAGGCAGGACCCCGAAACTCAGACTAAATAGCAAGGAGCTCAGTTGAACCATGCGGCAAATTCTGACTGAATGATTGTGTTTGTCTCCTCATGGTCAGCAATTGTATATAGATAGTTATGGGATTGGACTGTTTCAACTGTTTCTTTAAGTTATGACCCAATTCTTGAAGACTCCAGGGATGGGCTGGACCCAAGGGTGTATTTGTCTTTTTATCACAGCAATTGAATGCATGGTTAAAGGGCTGGGAACTACATTCTACCATTTAGATAATGAAGTCACATGAGGAAATTGTTGACAGACAATAACAGATGCCACTGTAGGGCCTATGCTCAACTTGGTCCTTCCAACCAGATGAGCTATAATTGATCTCCCTTTACAGAGACCTCAGTAATGACAATTTATCCAGGTTACATGTAGGTTTGTCCCCTATCACCATGTCATACCTGTAGGTTTGTCCTCTATCTCCATGTCATACCTGTAGGTTTGTCCCCTATCACCATGTCATACCTGTAGGCTTCTCTCTCTCTCCCCCCCCCCCTTTCACAATGTCATACCTGTAGTCTGTTAATACATTATCATGCCATACCTGTAAGTTTGTTCGTTCATTACCATGTCATACCTGCAAGTTTGTCCCCGCCCCCTCCACGTTGTCATACCTGTAATTTGTCTACCTCCACCATGTCATACCTGCAGCAAGTTTGTTCCCCNCCCCTCACCCAGTCCTACCTGTCGGTTTGTTCTCCTGTTAACTCACCTCTATATTACCCCTCCATCTGTCAGCAGCATTCCGTGCCAGTTCCAGCTCCTTTTCTTTGAGTCCTCGATGACGCTTATATGCTATTTCCACAAAGATAAGGAACACACCGGCAACAATTCCTCCGGCCACCATCATGAACACACCTGAATATAACATTGAATATATGTTACATCTTTAATCAACTTATTGTCTCACTTCTCTGATTGACCAAACATTTTCGGGATATTGTAAACAACATATTTTTTAACATCTGCAAACATGAATGAAAGATTGTGAAAACAAGCATTTTGTATGTGTCGTCTGCACCAGCTAGTTGACGTGATGGATGATACCAATTTAACGATGATGAAGGAAAGAAAGGCAACAGATATCTCATGAGTTTTGATCACAGCAAAGGTAATCAATAATGTGATTGTTTTGCAGGCAATGACCAACCTTAATGAGGTACAAACCTATATTTAATGTAAAGCTTTAATGACTAGATAGTCACATACCTGCCATGTTGGTCAGACCAAGTGTGGCGGGCGCTGAGTCTCGTTCACTCTCGGAGCAGTCAGTGCTCTCATTGAGAATCCACTTATTGTCTAGTTCCTCCATACGACCACCTGTCACAAAGTAATCGTTTCTGGTGTCACTCTCATACAAACTATATTTACACCTGGTAAAACACTGGAAATATCAATCACAAAATGTAACTTTTTAATGAAACATTTGGGTATGAACTACAAAATGACAATCATAATTATATATCTCTAGCTCACAATCAAAGGATTGTAATCTGTTACATGTTTTGAGTCAGAATCAATCTGTGTATCCGTGTACATCTCACACAAAAACATCATTTATTGATCATACAAGTATTATCTTATAGAGGATTCCTATAGAACATGTGATACATATTCATGGTGATGAGAGATATTACGGAGAGATCACTTAAGGCTGTATACATTGTTTATTGATTAGATATGTTTTTGTGTGTTTGATTTGCGATTTACTTTCAAGGAAGCAAAATGTAACAGAAAGAAAACCTGGTAGTAGTGTCTTTTATGTCTTTGCTTGCAGAGCAAAGAGTGAAAATGATCTTTGGATCTTTGGAAGTTTTGCTTACGTTCATGGAGTTTTAGAATTGCCATAGAGATATCATGGGTCCAAGGACTTTTCTTGCGGAGACCAATTCCAAGGCCTGACCGACCAAACAGCTCTCCAGCAGTGATCAGCTCACAATCTTTGGCAGCCTCGTACTCCAGACGGGATGAGTCCCAGATAAATGCTTGAAGCTCACTACAACACAAAAACACAGGTTTCAACATTTGTCATACATGTGTCAATATATGTCATACAGGTATCAATGTATGTCATACAGGTATCAATATATGTCATACAGGTGTCAATATATGTCATACATGTATCAATGTATGTCTTACAGGTATCAGCATTTGTAATAAATGTGTCAATGTATGTCATACAGGTGTCAATGTATGTCATACAGGTATCAACATTTGTCATACAGGTGTCAATGTATGTCATACAGGTGTCAATGTATGTCCTACATGTGTCAATGTAAACCATACAACTATCAACATTTGTGATACAGGTGTCAATGTAAGTCATACAGGTGTCAATGTATGTCATATATGTATCAACATTTGTCATACAGGACGGTGTCAATATATGCCATACAGCTGTCAATGTATGTCATACAGGTATCAAGATTTGTCATACAGGTATCAATATATATCATACAGGTATCGATGAATGTCATACAGGTATCAACATGTCATACAGGTGTCAATAAATTTATATAAGTATACAGAAATGTCCTACAGGTGTCACCATGTCACATAGGTATACAGAAATGCCATACAAGCTTCAACAAATTTCATACAGGAACTAAAACGATGTCTGAATGAATATCATAAGGTATCAACATATGGCATAAAGTTACTAAAAATATCTTACAGGTGCTATTGTTCTGTTATAAAAATAAGATTTTTGTAAATTATCCATATACAAATTTTGATGATGCATTTTGATTTTTATTTACAATGTAACAAAAAGAGAAATATAGAATAATTTTAACTGATTCTCCTACACCCTGTTATACAGAGGACGTACCCTTTCTTCACTTCGTTGATAGCTTCCTCAGCTGTGCGGTAGTTTCGTGTCTCCATCTGACGGTACATGGTAGATAACTCCACTTGTCTCTTGAAATACATCTCTACAGCACTGTTCTTCACCGTGGCATATTTGAAGTTTTCATTTGGATTACGGAGCTGTCAATGACAAATACAAACCTTGTGTACATCATCACACCCATTGACTGACATACCATTAGTACAGACTTGGCCACCTCTTAACATATTTCAAAACTAATATTGAGATTTTTCTTACATTATTTAATTTAATTGACACAGAGTTGTGGCTCCCCACTGTTGTATACCAGATACATGTTTGGACATGTGATACCTACCCTAGCATCGTCTATGCCTGTAATTGAGGCCTCGGGACGATCCAGCACCAGAAACGCTGCCAGGTTAGCAGTGTAGGAAGCCACAATGATCATAGCAAAGCCAGCCCACACCATTCCTAGTACACGGGCACTGAAGCTGCGTGGGGTTCCTACAACAAGTTGTATGATGATGTAGAACACAACAGGGGTTTATAAACCCAAAGTCTAACCGGTCATACAGGTTGTATGATGATGTAGAAGACAGGGGTTTATAAACCCAAAGTCTAACCGGTCATACAGGTTGTACCATGATGTAGAAGACAGGGGTTTATAAACCCAAAGTCTAACCGGTCATACAGGTTGTATGATGATGTAGAAGACAGGGGTTTGTAAACCCAAAGTCTAACCGGTCATACAGGTTGTACCATGATGTAGAAGACAGGGGTTTATAAACCCAAAGTCTAACCGGTCATACAGGTTGTACCATGATGTAGAAGACAGGGGTTTATAAACCCAAAGTCTAACCGGTCATACAGGTTGTACCATGATGTAGAAGACAGGGGTTTATAAACCCAAAGTCTAACCGGTCATACAGGTTGTACCATGATGTAGAAGACAGGGGTTTATAAACCCAAAGTCTAACCGGTCATACAGGTTGTACCATGATGTAGAAGACAGGGGTTTATAAACCCAAAGTCTAACCGGTCATACAGGTTGTACCATGATGTAGAAGACAGGGGTTTATAAACCCAAAGTCTAACCGGTCATACAGGTTGTACCATGATGTAGAAGACAGGGGTTTATAAACCCAAAGTCTAACCGGTCATACAGGTTGTACCATGATGTAGAAGACAGGGGTTTATAAACCCAAAGTCTAACCGGTCATACAGGTTGTACCATGATGTAGAAGACAGGGGTTTATAAACCCAAAGTCTAACCGGTCATACAGGTTGTACCATGATGTAGAAGACAGGGGTTTATAAACCCAAAGTCTAACCGGTCATACAGGTTGTACCATGATGTAGAAGACAGGGGTTTATAAACCCAAAGTCTAACCGGTCATACAGGTTGTACCATGATGACGTAGAAGACAGGGGTTTATATGCCCAAAGTCTAACCGGTCATACAGGACAACCTGTTCATCTTATACAAATAACAAAATCTCTTCTTCCTGTAGGGAAACACAATAATATCATTTAAACCTTTACCTAAACAATTAAGTTTTTTAACATAAAATAAAAACACAGAGCATCATTTGCATATGCACATACTTCACATTACTGTAAACATAAAGTATTTAATTTCAAAACACAATAGTTTTTTTTAATTTTACCTCCAAGGCAAAACATTACATATAATATACCTTCTAACAAAGAGAATTTTTAAATCGATATTGCTGCTAATGTGCTACTTACACTCTCTAACCTGCTACCACTGATACCTTGCTGTGTGTGACCTACTTACCCTCCCCAATATCACTGAGACTTTGCTGTGTGTGACCTACTTACCTTCCCCAATATCACTGAGACTTTGCTGTGTGTGACCTACTTCCCCTCCCCAATATCACTGAGACTTTGCTGTGAGTGACCTACTTACCCTCCCTAATATCACTGAGACTTTGCTGTGAGTGACCTACTTATCCTCACCAATACCACTGAGACTTTGCTGTGAGTGACCTACTTACCCTCCCCAATATCACTGAGACTTTGCTGTGTGTGCCCTCCTTACCTTCCCCAATATCACTGAGACTTTGCTGTGTGTGACCTACTTACCTTCCCCAATATCACTGAGACTTTGTTGTGTGTGACCTACTTACCCTCCCCAATATCACTGAGACTTTTCTGTGAGTGACCTACTTACCCTCCCTAATGCCACTGAGACTTTGCTGTGAGTGACCTACTTACCCTCCCCAATATCACTGAGACTCTGCTGTGTGTGACCTACTTACCCTCTCCAATATCACTGAGACTTTGCTGTGAGTGACCTACTTACCCTCCCTAATATCACTGAGACTTTGCTGTGAGTGACCTACTTATCCTCACCAATACCACTGAGACTTTGCTGTGAGTGACCTACTTACCCTCTCCAATGCCACTGTTGAGCAGCACCCCCCAGGCAAACCACATGGCACTAGACAAGTTAAGAGCATCCTCCTCAGTGTCGTCACTCTTGGCCAGCTTGAAGCGACCAAAGGGAGAGAATCTGTCAAGGAGGTAGAGGACCAGGGCCACCACATGGACGGACAGACCGACCAGGATCCACAGTGTGTCCTGGAACGGCTGTAGGAAGGAGGCCAGACTGGAGTCCTTCTGGGTCTAAAAAGAATGTACACCAGTAATAGTATCTTTTTAAGTATAAATACTCTTATAGGAGAAAGTGTCAGTGCTCTATATGTTACATCTCCAACAAAGGAGAGTTCCAATTTGTTTGAAATGATTCTGACCTGGAGTTGCTTGCCCTTTTACTTATGCAAACAGAGAAATATCATTGTTATAATTTTCCATTTTACAAAACATCTTTATCACAGGCATTCCACCCCATGACTTCTTGGTTATAAAGCAGAGAGCTTATCCACTGTGTTTAATGAATACAGAAGAAATAAACGGTGTTACTCTCTAACTTAATTTTGATTGGTCCTTCCTTCATGCCTAGTCTGACAGTAGTATTTTGACTTTTGGAGCTGTGATTTTTACTGACATTTTATTTTTTTGTTTCTGTTACTGAAATTTTGACCTGTGATTCTGACCTTTTTGACCAGAATGATGAGTCCCTGGTACTTGAAAGGCTTGGAGAAGTCAATGTGTTCAGCCCGCTCAGGGTTGATCGTGAGTGGTGCCACTATCAGATCGGACTGTTCACTGACAAGTTCTCCAATCATCCCGTTCCATGTCTTCATCTTACTGTTGTTACTCTGCAACCAGACATTTCATATTAGAGGCCTTTTATTAAAAAACAAAACTTGATGACACATCGCTTATGTAAGACTTGTATGTGGTGTGAAGGTTTGGTGAGATAAAACATTGAGTTGTGTATGACCTTTAACTAGCTCTAAATGTGACCTTAACCTTGAAGAGTGATACATTACTCTCTTATAAAACAAAGGCTAGCTGGGATAGTTACCTGTTGTCTAATGTATTTATAAAATGTGTTGAAATTAAAAAAGAAATTTCACACCAGTAACAAGTTTAATTAAGTGGTTCAGGACTTATGACCTGGTGACAGGTTGACGAGCATCAGACAGTAAGTTTAACCGAAATGATCAGTGTCTGATAGCTAAACATATCATACAGAACCGGAGTACTAGGTATCAAGCTTATCTCAGTAATTCACTAAATCTCTCTGTACACTTACCCTCGTAAGTGTGCCAAACGAGTTGTCAGTACTCAGATGTAACTCAAAGGTAAAGTTGACTTTCTTGGAGATGTCAATCAACATATCAATGCAGTAACCATAGCAACAGTAGTCAACTTTCTCCCCTGTGACAGAAATGAGTAATTTGATAAACAGCTGATGTGTCAATTTCTCTTTATCCTTGGAAATTGGATGAACTTTTACCAATATAAGCCATATAATCATCTCAAAATATTTCACCTTGACCAGCTGATCCTGACCAGTGTGATAATCTTCCTGTTAAACCAATGTCCTTGGCCCCTTTAAACCAATGTCCTTGGCCCCTTTAAACCAATGTCCTTGGCCCCTTTAAGCCAATGTCCTTGGCCCCTTTAAACCAATGACAATAACCAATTGCAATTATTGAACCAACCCATGTGATCTTCTCTTCCTTCTTAACATTGAATTTGAAGCTTAAATCTGTATTAAATGACTTTATGTCCATTTAACCTTTAACCCTGTCTCACCTGTTGTAGAGTTGACTTTCCAACATATGCGTTCATTCTTGCCTTCCTCACAGGAACCTTTCTCTGACAGAAGCTCTGTGTGTACAAAGGGCGTGGCCTTCAATGTCACCACCTACAACACATATAATACCGCAAAATTAGTTGTGACCACAGACACCAGCTCGGACTTTATCTATACCAATATAATCGAACAGTAATAATATAAAGAATTAATAACAGATAAAAACACATTACGTTTAATGTCCACAAGTTCCCCGACTCCAAAGATGCTCCATACCTAGTTTTGGAAAAATGAACTGAGCCATTTTGGAAAGTTGGAACCTGAATGAAGTATGCCAAAGACATGCCACATATGGTTTCACTTGTGTTTTGGGGCAAGTGACCTGAACAATCAGTATAACAGAATAGTTACTGTCCTCACACTCAGGGAATCGACCTTCACTTCTGGCAGTTTTCAGTGACTTTGATCTTTAGGGTAAGGACATGTGCATCGTACATGATTAGCCATTTTGTCACCATACCGTACCCATGTATCTGAAGATCATCAGATTATGTTCAGTAGGTTCAGCAGTTAAAAACTTTAACATTGCAACAATATATAACCTTCACGGATACACCTTCAGCGTCACTTGCCACTTGTGTCAGCCTCCAGTTGGCAGTGCTTACCTTGAGGTGCGTGGAGATCTTGACACCTTTGGGTTTCACCATTAGGTTACCAGGCCACACAATCTTATTTTCACCTGTGATCTTCAGAGCAGGTTCTGTGGCCTGAAGGATTAAAAGGTTTCATTTATCTCTCCCTTGTTACTTTCTGTAAGTATACTTTTATGTCAATTGATGAAATATAAAATAGGAGTGCTCTATTCACAAATATCTTTTCTCTAAATTAAAATAGTATTTAGTAGATTGGTATCAATTAGATATGTTTTCATATTCTAATGTTTTTATTTGTCCTGTAAATCAAGCTCTTTCTCTTTGTGTAAAGGGAATAATTTTATTCCCATTCTGCATATAAAAGTGACTCTCCCTGTGTTAATGTAAAGAGTTTTGCTTATCTGTATATCTTGTCTTCTCGCTGCATGTAAAAGGGCATTTGCCTTTCTGTACAAGGTTTGTAAATATGAATTTTCCATATTTGTAACTAAATCAAATCCCTTGATATCTGGAATTATTTGTTCAATATAAACTAGAGAAAAAAAAATCATCTATCTATTCATCCTGTTGCCAAGGTTACCTGTTTGTTGCCATAGTAGCCAACCATGCTGACTTTGTCCTGCTGGCTGTTTCTGATGAAGTAAACGGCGTTGACCCGGTCGCCATCCTCGTTAAAGCTCACCTGTCCTGTGTGACCCTTCTCCAACTTCTCAGCCTTCAGTGCCCTACACAACACAACACCAAACACATCAGGCCCCGGAATCTCGAAACTTCTCAAACCCATTCTTAGTGCTTAACTTTAAGCATATGCTTTACTTTAAGCATATACTTAAAAAAGTGTATCTCAAAGGTTCTTAAACCATTCTCAATTCTTAACTTTAAGCATACTTAAAAAAAAAAGTGTATCTCAAAGGTTTTTAAGTATGCATTCTCAAATTTTAAGTTGAGAACGGGCTCAATATTTGAGAATGGTAAGGAGGATGCTTAAATATTTAAGAACGTGCTTAAATACACAAAATGGCCAACTGTAATTGTCTGATAAGTCATGAAATTCAGCCACTAGAAATGAGAAGGAGACGAAAGGCACAGTGTTTATCGTTATTTTTCATTTATTTATTTATTTATTCATAATTAGCCAACACTTTGGATATAATTAGAAAACCAGCATTTGGGGCCATTCAATACAGTCTTCTATCACAGGATGTCCATAAAATCAGACATTGGCAAACTCTTGAAAGATACATCTATAATATTTTCAAATTTTTAACACTTTGAGTGTAGAAGATTCCTGGTTTCAATGGTAAGGGACTAGAGACCTGAGGTTTTATTGGTAGGAGTCTAGAATACTTATAAATCCACTGTAAATATAAGTTTATACTTACTCTAGTATTTTGCGGCCAATCTGCCAGTTGTTGTCTGCACTGCGACAATCTGTGGGTGTGTCGGTGATGTTCTGTAGGTCACTGTTGTCAACGAAGAACTGTCGCATGGCCTTACCAATAACTTGTACACTGTCCCTGATGTGGACATCTTCGTTAGTGCTGTTAGACAACTTCAAACCAAGCATACCTATCAAACATCCAAGGGATCAAATAACAGAAAACAGCAGGAAAGGAGTAAACATTGTGTTTGTCTTCGTGATCAAGTCTACTTTCAAATTAGGTTACTGACAACTGATGACCTGTAGTACATACCAACAGGAATGGTAGAGGCTTCCAGGGCCTGCTCACTCACTATCCAGGCATATCCTGCTGTGGTCAGATTCAGATTCTTTGCATCTCTAAACAGACTCTCAGCATCCCTTTGTCTGTAATAAGCATTTTTGAATATTATGCTTAAATAATATGTGTATAATATGATCAATGACTGAACCTGTCTATGACATCAATATTTCACTTAGGGGCCAGATGCACTTATTATGCTAACTGAAGTATTACCCTGGAAATCACTAAATATTAACAACCTGGCTGGCATGTCACATTTAAAATTCCAGTTAAAAAAAGAGATTACACTTACAATGCCATCCTAGAAGAGGTATTAAACTTACGATGTCGGCCTAGTAGAGAGATAACACTAACGATATCGGCCTGGCAAAAAACACACTTACGATGTCCGCCTGACAGAGATCACACTTATGATGTCGCCTTGACAGAGATCACACTTACAATGTCGGCTTGACAGAGATAACACTTACGATGTCGGCCTGACAGAGATAACACTTACGATGTCGGCCTGGTAAAAAACACACTTACGATGTCCGCCTGACAGAGATCACACTTACGATGTCGGCTTGACAGAGATAACACTTACGATGTCGGCCTGACAGAGATCACACTTACGATGTTGGCCTGGAACAGATCACACTTATGATGTCGGCCCGACAGAGATCACACTTACGATGTCAGCCTGGCAAAAAACACACTTACGATGTCCGCCTGACAGAGATCACACTTATGATGTCGGCTTGACAGAGATCACACTTACAATGTCGGCTTGACAGAGATAACACTTACGATGTCGGCCTGACAGAGATCACACTTACGATGTGGGCCTGGAACAGATCACACTTATGATGTCGGCCTGACAGAGATCACACTTACGATGTCGGTCCGACAGAGATCACACTTACGATGTCGGCTTGACAGAGATCACACTTACAATGCTGACAGAGATAACACTTACGATGTCGGCCCGACAGAGATCCCACTTACGATGTCGGCTTGACAGAGATCTCACTTACGATGTCGACTTGACAGAGATAACACTTACAATGTCGGCTTGACAGAGATCACACTTACGATGTTGGCTTGACAGAGATAACACTTACGATGTGGGCTTGACAGAGATCACACTTATGATGCTGACAGGGATCACACTTACGATGTTGGCCTGACAGAGATCACACTTACGATGTTGGCCTGACAGAGATCACACTTATGATGCTGACAGGGATCACTCTTACGATGTTGGCCTGACAGAGATCACACTTACGATGTAGGCCTGACAGAGATCACACTTACGATGTTGGCCTGACAGAGATCACACTTACGATGTAGGCCTGATAGAGATCACACTTACGATGCTGACAGAGATCACACTTACGATGCTGACAGAGATCACACTTACGATGTTGGCCCGACAGAAATTACACTTACGATGCTGACAGGAGTATAACTCTTGACTGTAAGGATGGTAAGGACTTCAAGATTGATGTGAATTTCTTTATACCAGATGGGTACTTGTACACCTTTTCTAGCTACAAAGACAAAAGATATGTATCATCTATTCTATTTATCACATAAACTAATGTTTACTGTAGCTCTCACATCTGGTTAAATTAAAAAGGTTTATCAATTGTATGATAACACCAGTTTAGTTAAAGTGAAAATCTTGAATGAGTTTAGGTATTTGCCATTTTGGTCTTGTGCAAGTCTTTACTCTTCGATCAACATCAGCTAGACGCTTTATTTACTAATTTTGCGCTTATAAATTTTAAGCGTATCCATGCCCCTGAATATCTCTGTCCCAGATGTGGCTGCTCAAAGTCTGTTGAACAATTTACCCACCCACCGCCCCAACTACACCATTTAAATAATTACTGGACAGGACTCTGCTGTTGTGTTTGTTGTCCACAGGATATTTCTGGATCTATGCTGTTTCCAAAGAAATTATTCAGGGGGACTGGTTCACCACAACATTGCTGAAGGTGATTTGGACTTTCGCAAGGTGATATAGGCCTTTGTTCGTGCAAGTGTGGGCCAGCTAGTCTTCAGTAAATTTTAAAATGTCACATGAACTTGTCAATCAGTGTGGTAGGTAATAACAATTAAAGATGCCCAGAGGGCCTGTATCGCTCACCTAGATACCTAAGCAATCATGGCAAAATATTCTCCAAATGAGATCAAGGGAATATGCCAGACCCCAAGGCCAAACCTTGTAGCATATCTGTATTAGATTTTTCATGCCCAGCAATTTCATGTATGATTATGGGGTGGGGATCTCAACTGTTTCCAAGCTTTGACTCAGAAACTATAGGTCCCTATGGTTGTGGTCAGACCCCAGGATCAATTCTAATATCGTGACTGCATTCGTCTCTTTATGCCCAAAAATTGTATATATAGTTTTGGGGTGGGGATCTTAACCATTTCAAAGTTATGACCCAGGGGTTAAGTCTCCAAGGGTGGGGCAGTCCCCATGGCCATCCTGGAAGCATATGTGCAATCATCTCTTTATACTAAGTAATTGTATATACGGTTATAGGGTGGGCCTCTCAACTGCTTCCAAGCTTTGACTAAGAAACTAGGTCCCTAGGGGTTCGGTCTGACCCCAGGGTCTATTCTGATATTATGACTGAATTCATCTCTTTATGCCCAGAATTTGTATATATAGTTTTTGGGTGGGGATCTCAACAGTTTTAAAGTTATGGCCCAGGGACTATGTCTCCAAGGGTGGGGCCAGACACTAGGGCCATCCTGGAAGCAAATGTGCATTCTTCTCTTTACACTCAGCAATTGTATACCATGGTTATATGGTGGGGATCACAACCATTTCCAAGTAATACACTTTTTTTGGCCCCACCCCTTAGCCCGGGGGGTCAGCCCCACCATTTGTACAATTTTGAATCCCTGCCTCCTATGAATGCTTCCGACCAAATATGGTTGATATCCATCTCTTAGTTCCAGAGAAGAAGTAGCTTTAAGCAATAAAGCCAAATAACCCTTTTTGGCCCCGCCCACAGCCCCCTGGGGGGTTAGCCACACCATTTGTACAATTTTGAATTCCTGCCTCCTATGAATGCTTTTGATCAAATATGATTGATATACAGTGCACAGTTCTACAGAAGAAGTCGTCTGTAGCAGTATAGCCAAATTGCCCCCTTTTGGCACCGACCCTAAGCCCCCTGGGGGGTCAGCCCTACCATTTGTACAATTTTGTATCACCACCACCTAGGGATGCTTCCAGTCAAATATGGTTGATATCCACTCCTTAGTTCCAGAGAAGAAGTCGCTGAAAGCAATATAGACAAATACCCTTTTTGGCCCCCGCCCCTCAGCCCCCTGGGGGGTCAGCCCCACCATTTGTACAATTTTGAATCCCCACCACCTAGGGAGGCTTCCAGTCAAATATGGTTGATATCCACTTCTTGGTTCCAGAGAAGAAGTTGCTTAAAGCAATATAGCCAAATTGCCCCCTTTTGGCACCGACCCTAAGCCCCCTGAGGGGTCAGCCCTACCATTTGTACAATTTTGTATCACCACCCCCTAGGGATGCTTCCAGTCAAATTTAGTTGAATTCCAATCAGTGGTTAAGAGGAAGAACTCGTTTAAAGAAATTGTTGACATATGAACGTACGGATGGACGGACGACGGATGCAACGGTATGGCATAAGCTCACCTTGGTCCTTCGGACCAGGTGAGCTAATAATATACCATAGGACTGGATAAGTGGTATATATATACTTAAACAATGATGTATCCAGTAATATGTTGTCAGATGATAAACTGGCAAAGACCTACAAGATAGCTAACCTTGCTATATATGGTATCATTAATTTGATATATGTGCTCCTTAGGAGCAGATAATTTTGTGGACTACATATTATGGACTTTAATTATGATTTAATTATGATCACTTAAGTAGAATGACCTTTGATACTCGTCAATTCATTTCTGGTCAATTATCATTACATTTTAGTCAAGGGGAGATAACCCTATATTGTAAAGTTTATTTCAATATATTTTTGCTGTATATCTGAAATTCCACAGTATAAATAAAGAGTGTCTATTTTTTCATCGCAGTTACGTGGGCATGTATATAATTGCACCCTCGTGATGTTTGGCTTGGCAGATGGCTGACAGGCTAATTCCAAAGATTGAGATTTCTTTATCATATATCAGCTCATATATGGGAAGTACACCTACACTGTGGTACCACAGGGTAGGCAATAGTAGCCCATCTCATGTAAACAGGAATGGTCAGTTCTTTACTGTTTACCAGTTCGAGCTATTTTGTCACTAGAATAAGCTGGGGACAGGTGGTTTAATTATGGGTAATAATACCAATTATAATATATGGGCTCATGTATTGTAGAAATCACACCTAGTTTACTCTATTGGTGGGTTTACATAGAGAAACCGAGACTGGCAGTGTTACCACTGGGTCACTATAGCATGCCAGTTTAAATTTCGGCGGTAATTTTTAGTCTGTCAGCCATCGAAAAAATGGGGGGGGTGTCCTTTATATAATCTGTGAATTTGTAGTATTTCGTGAATCGTAATTGCGGCCAGAAATTCTCCAATTCTATGGTGTGTCAGTGTACGAGTTCTGGTGTGTCAGTGTACTTGTTCTGGTGTGTCAGTGTACGAGTTCTGGTATGTCAGTGTACTGGTTCTGGTGTGTCAGTGTACGAGTTCTGGTGTGTCAGTGTACTAGTTCTGGTGTGTCAGTGTACAAGTTCTGATGTGTCAGTGTACGAGTTCTGGTGTGTCAGTGTACGGGTTCTGGTGTGTCTGTGTACTAGTTCTGGTGTGTCAGTGTGCGAGTTCTGGTGTGTCAGTGTACGAGTTCTGGTGTGTCTGTGTACTAGTTCTGGTGTGTCAGTGTGCGAGTTCTGGTGTGTCAGTGTATGAGTTCTGGTGTGTCAGTGTACGAGTTCTAGTGTGTCAGTGTTCTAGTTCTGGTTTGTCAGTGTACGAGTTCTGGTGTGTCAGTGTACAATATTTTGTGTGATTTCAACCTTCACTGTGTCAGTGTACGAGTTCTGGTGTGTCTGTGTACTAGTTCTGGTGTGTCAGTGTACGAGTTCTGGCGTGTCAGTGTACGAGTTCTGGTGTGTCAGTGTACCAGTTCTGGTGTGTCAGTGTAGGAGTTCTGGTGTGTCAGTGTACTATTTCTGGTGTGTCAGTGTACGAGTTCCGGTGTGTCAGTGTACGAGTTCTGGTGTGTCTGTGTATGAGTTCTGGTGTGTCAGTGTACTAGTTCTTGTGTGTCAGTGTAAGAGTTCTTGTGTGTCAGTGTACGAGTTCTGGTGTGTCAGTGTAAGAGTTGTGGTGTGTCAGTGTACTAGTCCTGGTGTGTCAGTGTACGAGTTCCGGTGTGTCAGTGTACGAGTTCTGGTGTGTCTGTATACTAGTTCTGGTGTGTCAGTGTGCGAGTTCTGGTGGGTCAGTGTATGAGTTCTGGTGTGTCAGTGTACAAGTTCTGATGTGTCAGTGTACGAGTTCTGGTGTGTCAGTGTTCGAGTTCTGGTGTGTCAGTGTACGAGTTCTAGTGTGTCAGTGTTCTAGTTCTGGTTTGTCAGTGTACGAGTTCTGGTGTGTCAGTGTACTAGCTCTGGTGTGTCAGTGTACGAGTTCTGGTGTGACAGTGTAGGAGTTCTGGTGTGTCAGTGTACTAGTCCTGGTGTGTCAGTGTACGAGTTCTGGTGTGTCACTGTACTAGTTCTGGTGTGTCAGTGTACGAGTTCTGGGGGGTCAGTGTACGAGTTCCGGTGTGTCAGTGTACGAGTTCTGGTGTGTCTGTATACTAGTTCTGGTGTGTCAGTGTGCGAGTTCTGGGGTGTCAGTGTATGAGTTCTGGTGTGTCAGTGTACGAGTTCTGATGTGTCAGTGTACGAGTTCTGGTGTGTCAGTGTATTAATTCTGGTGTGTCAGTGTACGAGTTCTGGTGTGTCACTGTACTAGTTCTGGTGTGTCAGTGTACGAGTTCTGGCGTGTCAGTGTACGAGTTCTGGTGTGTCAGTGTATTAGTTCTGGTGTGTCAGTGTACAAGTTCTGGTGTGTCTGTGTACTAGTTCTGGTGTGTCAGTGTACGAGTTTCGGTGTGTCAGTGTACGAGTTCTTGTGTGTCTGTGTACTAGTTCTGGTGTGTCAGTGTGCGAGTTCTGGTGTGTCAGTGTATGAGTTCTGGGGTGTCAGTGTACAAGTTCTGATGTGTCAGTGTACGAGTTCTGGTGTGTCAGTGTTCGAGTTCTGGTGTGTCAGTGTACTAGTTCTGGTGTGTCATTGTACGAGTTCTGGTGTGTCAGTGTACGATTTCTGGTGTGTCAGTGTACTAGTTCTGGTGTGTCTGTGTACTAGTTCTGGTGTGTCAGTGTACGAGTTCTGGTGTGACAGTGTAGGAGTTCTGGTGTGTCAGTGTACTAGTTCTGGTGTGTCATTGTACGAGTTCTGGTGTGTCAGTGTACGATTTCTGGTGTGTCAGTGTACTAGTTCTGGTGTGTCATTGTACGAGTTCTGGTGTGTCAGTGTACGATTTCTGGTGTGTCAGTGTACTAGTTCTGGTGTGTCATTGTACGAGTTCTGGTGTGTCAGTGTACGATTTCTGGTGTGTCAGTGTACTAGTTCTGGTGTGTCATTGTACGAGTTCTGGTGTGTCAGTGTACGATTTCTGGTGTGTCAGTGTACTAGTTCTGGTGTGTCATTGTACGAGTTCTGGTGTGTCAGTGTACGATTTCTGGTGTGTCAGTGTACGAGTTCTGGTGTGTCACTGTACTAGTTCTGGTGTGTCAGTGTACGAGTTCTGGGGTGTCAGTGTACGAGTTCTGGTGTGTCAGTGTATTAGTTCTGGTGTGTCAGTGTACGAGTTCTGGTGTGTCAGTGTACAATATTTTGTGTGATTTCAACCTTCACTGTAGCGCCATTGATGTAGTGTGGTCTATGTGTTTAGGCTAAGTGTGTTTTGATTTTTCTTCCCAAAAGTGCAAAACATTGTTGAGAATCCTGAATTCATGAATTTGCATGTATTTGCGAAAATTGAAACCCTCACAAATTAGAAAGTACACACTACTGGTCGTACCATAATGTCCTCCTTTTCAGCCAGCCATTTGAAGCGACTCAGGATCATACGTCCCTCCTCGTCCATACTGTGAATGAAGATGACCTGTTTCCATGCAAAATGGGTCAACATCTCCAGCCAAGCGTCGGCCTGGTGGAAGTATGGTGGGACTGTCCTCAGGAACGTGGGGTGTACATTCTACAGACAAAACACAAACGTGGGTTATAACAAGGCAAACAACACACTTAGTTTAATGCAAAAAGTTAGATGTACTTGTACAAATTTTCAAGATCTGAACAGCTGAAATATATATATCAATATTCAATATTTTAATATTTGAGAATTAACACCTCGTAACTTTTCCATATTTATGCGGCAAAGGTCGGTGAACAGCCTACACTCCTTTTGGCTGGTATCTTTGTAAATCTCTGTATAGATTTTTAGACATGTCTTACAAGCCAGCAAGGCTTGAGATGTTCTCTCAAGTGTGACAATAACCTCATGAATATTGATCAAGTTCCTCTATGACTGTGAAAAACCTTGAATATCGAAATCATGTGTGATGTCAGATGAAACAGAGATCATCTTCGACATCGAGAGCTTTACTCCCTTTTTCGTATATACACCATCGTAGGTGTGTCAGTTTTATAAAAAAAAACAATGATCTAAACCCCAAAAACATGTAAAATTACTCTGAACACCTCAGTTAAGGTCCAAATGTAGCTGTAACAAATTATCAGGTCCCTGTGATACTCAAGGGAGACAAGAAACATTGAAGTGAGTACCTTGTCTGAGAATGAGTGATTGTGAAGAGAGACATTGATGTGAGTACCTTGTCTGAGAATGAGTTGTAGTGAAGGGAGACATTGATGTGAGTACCTTGTCTGAGCATGAGTGATTGTGAAGAGAGACATTGATGTGAGAACCTTATCTGAGAATGAGTGGTAGTGAAGGGAAACATTGATGTGAGTACCTTGTCTGAGAATGAGCTATCTCTAGTTGAGATCCCAATGACGGGGATATTGTAGAAGCCACACGTGTATGACACTGAGATGGGTGCCTGGTCGACGTCATCAGGTGGGTGACTCACGATCACAATGTGGACTGCCTTTTTCACCAGCTCATCACAAAGTTTGAGGGCAGAACGGATCCTGTTTGGGTCCATCAGAATGGAGGTGAACTCAAAACGAATAATCTTGGAAACTTCAGAATGGTTGTTTAAGTTGCGCACGGCCTCCTGAAAAATTTGTTGGTTTTGTGGAGAGCTAAGGATAGCACCAATCCTGACAATGCGTGGGTTAGCAAAGGACTGGATTACAAATAGCAAGAGGAGGAACACCTTCCAAGTACCCTGAATCTCCATGGTAACAGATCCTGGGTGTCTCACCACTACAGATTTAGTAACTTCACAATGGAATATCTGAAAAACAAAACCATTCACTTAAATACTGCACTCTTTTAGCTACATTGGCAGGTTTTAATAATTACCGGTACAGAATTGCAATCTTTGGTGATACACACAGCAGTATAGACACAGAGATTTTACCTAAATTATCTATCTTTACTTTCCTACCTATATATTGACTTGAGCAAGTCTACAGACTCTTGACCATAGATCATTACCTTAGACTTGCTCAAGTCCATAGACAAGAAATAATTCTGTAGACTAAAAGCCAGTCTATATGAATGAATGTGGCAGCAATTGATTAATCAGTTTGGGTATAACGTTTGTAAATGTTAGCTTTTCCTCATGCTTGGTCCTGTATTATAGGGCAGTAAGTGGGAGACCTCCCAAGTACATCATGTAAACACACTCCACCCTGTAGGATGGATGTTAACATGTGTGTGAAGTGTTGTTTACATCTGAACACCAAGGTCAACGGCATCACCAATACAACTACCAACAATCATACCACATTTAGTCAACTTTGTTATCTACAAAATGATGGGAGCATGTTCTGTTTAGAAAAAATAATGTCTCCAGGATATCAAATTCAAAGTACATTTGGATCAGTAAGGAGTTAATCAGGAAAGTAATATCAATAACACATTATCAGTGAATAACTCTTTGCCAAGGTTGCCAGCATGGATATCCAGATATATAATCAGACCTATCTTTGGTCACACTATGGAGAAACACAAATTAAACCTGAACCCCACCCTAGGGAGATACAGTTAAACCTGAACCCCATCCTAGGGAGAAACATAAATTAAACCTGAACCCCACCCTAGGGAGATAAGTTAAACCTCATTAAAATGGCCACTGTAGGGATAAACATTCGAAACTGTCTATAACAACCATCGTAGGGAGATATACAGTCAAAACTGTCTATAACAACCACTCTAGGGAGATATAAGTCAAAACTATCTATAACAACCACCCTAGGGAGATACAGTTAAACCTGAACCCCATCCTAGGGAGATACAGTTAAACCTGAACCCCACCCTAGGGAGATACATAAATTAAACCTGAACCCCACCCTAGGGAGAAACACAAATTAAAGCTGAACCCCACCCTAGGGAGATACAGTTAAACCTGAACCCCACCCTAGGGAGAAACATAAATTAAAGCTGAACCCCACCCTAGGGAGATACAGTTAAACCTGAACCCCATCCTAGGGAGATACAGTTAAACCTGAACCCCACCCTAGGGAGATACATAAATTATACCTGAACCCCACCCTAGGGAGAAACACAAATTAAAGCTGAACCCCACCCTAGGGAGATACAATTAAACCTGAACTCAATCCTAGGGAGAAACAGTTAAACCTGAACCCCATCCTAGGGAGATACAATTAAACCTGAACCCCATCCTAGGGAGATACAGTTAAACCTGAACCCCATCCTAGGGAGATACAATTAAACCTGAACCCCATCCTAGGGAGATACATAAATTAAACCTGAACCCCACCCTAGGGAGATACAGTTAAACTTGAACCCCACCCTAGGGAGAAACATAAATTAAACCTGAACCCCACCCTAGGGAGAAACATAAATTAAAGCTGAACCCCACCCTAGGGAGAAACACAAATTAAACCTGAACCCCACCCTAGGGAGATACAGTTAAACCTGAACCCCACCCTATGGAGAAACATAAATTAAACCTGAACCCCACCCTAGGGAGATACAGTTAAACATGAACCCCACCCTATGGAGAAACATAAATTAAACCTGAACCCCACCCTATGGAGAAACATAAATTAAACCTGAACCCCACCCTATGGAGAAACATAAATTAAAGCTGAACCCCACACTATGGAGAAATATAAATTAAACCTGAACCCCACCCTAGGGAGATACAGTTAAACCTCATTAAAATGGCCACTGTAGGGAGAAACATTCAAAACTGTCTATAACAACCAACGTAGGGAGATATACAGTCAAAACTGTCTATAACAACCACTCTAGGGAGATATAGTCAAAACTGTCTATAACAACCACCCTAGGGAGATATACAGTCAAAACTGTCTATATCAACCATTCTGGGAGATATACAGTCAAAACTTTCCAAACAACCACCTAGGGAAATGCAGTCAAAACTGTCTATAACAACCACCCTAGGGAGATATACAGTAAAAACTGTCTATAACAACCACCCTCGGGAAATACAGTCAAAAGTGTCTATAACAACCACCCTAGGGAGATACAGTCAAAACTGTCTATAACAACCACCCTAGGGAAATACAGTCAAAACTGTCAATATCAACCACCCTAGGGAAATACAGTCAAAACTGTCTATAACAAACACCTTAGGGAGATACAGTCAAAACTGTCTATAACAACCACCCTAGGGAAATACAGTCAAAACTGTCTATAACAACCACCATTGGAGATATACATTCAAACCTGTTTATAAAAACTGCGATAGAGGGCAAAAAAATAACAGAATCTCTTTTATAGATCACACAAGTATATACCCGGGCTATAAGGTAATTCGGTATGTAGCCAAATGACAGGAGTTTCTCATTAGCAGCTGTTCAAATACAGTGTATATTTGCATTAACAATTTTACTATAATAGTATACAGCCTACATATCACATATAACCAGGTACCTATTAAATGTAGTGATGACAAGCTGTCTACTACATTCATCATATTGTATCTCATCATACAACTCTACCACATACATCATCTTATATCTTATCATACAACTCTACTACATACATCATATTGTATCTCATCATACAACTCTACTACATACATCATATATTATATCTCATCATACAACTCTACTACATACATCATATTGTATCTCATCATACAGTTCTACCACATACATCATATTGTATCTCATGTTATTATCAATATATAACATGGACTAAAACAGGACATCAATGTTATTATCAATATATAACATGGACTAAAATAGGACATCAATGTTATTATTAATATATAACATGGACTAAAATAGGACATCAATGTTATTATCAATATATAACATGGACTAAAATAGGACATCAATGTTATTATCAATATATAACATGGACTAAAATAGGACATCAATGTTATTATCAATATATAACATGGACTAAAATAGGACATCAATGTTATTATCAATATATAACATGGACTAAAATAGGACATCAATGTTATTATCAATATATAACATGGACTAAAATAGGACATCAATGTTATTATCAATATATAACATGGACTAAAATAGGACATCAATGTTATTATCAATATATAACATGGACTAAAATAGGACATCAATGTTATTATCAATATATAACATGGACTAAAATAGGACATCAATGTTATTATCAATATATAACATGGACTAAAATAGGACATCAATGTTATTATCAATATATAACATGGACTAAAATAGGACATCAATGTTATTATCAATATATAACATGGACTAAAATAGGACATCAATGTTATTATTAATATATAACATGGACTAAAATAGGACATCAATGTTATTATCAATATATAACATGGACCAAAATAGGACATTAATGTTATTATCAATATATAACATGGACTAAAATAGGACATCAATGTTATTATTAATATATAACATGGACTAAAATAGGACATCAATGTTATCATCAATATATAACATGGACTAAAATAGGACATCAATGTTATTATCAATATATAACATGGACTAAAATAGGACATTAATGTTAATTTAATTTAACTGAAATAACACATTAATATCATTGTTTAATTGAACTTTAACTACCACATCAATGTTATTGTTGATACATACCAGTAGCTACAGTAATACATCGATGTTACTATCAATATAACAACACAGCTATATGTATTTAGGGATAACACAGACATACAAACTTCACTACCCAGCATGTACAGCAGACAACCCAATCCCCGTACAGGTTGGTATAGGAGGGTATTTGATGCCTGTCTGAACCAGCCACTAATTGTCTGTAATTGATACATCCGCCTACAGTACTACTGCACTCTGTATATACACTGTACTGACTTACGATTTAAATTACACGTTGAAATGGTATACTGTTATTTATACAGATAAAGACTTACATGTAAAGATATGTCCCGTTACACCAGCCCTCAAATCACCGTACCGTGTTATCATTTATATACCCCTCGACAGCTGCAGCATCCTCATCAATGGCGGAGTACTCCACAGGAGCTTTCCACTGTCTATAAACCCCTAGCTACCTACCGTGGTGGGTACTGGTGGCTCCCTGGGTCCGGACGCTGGGGTTTATCACATTCCCTCACGACACCCCGGGATTAATCCAAATATCTTCACATTACCTCGCCTAAAAATCGATATGAAGTCGACAGGAAATATTGTAAAAAACACGGCGAATGTCACGTGACATTTATTATTGTGCTGCTGCGGCTGCTGGAAATGGGAGCTAACTCTGTATGATTGATGGAAAATCAATGGTGGACGTCGTGACACGAGCGCTGTCTCCTGGGTCATGTACAGCGGTGACTGTTAGCGTGTTTAAAACGTCGTCAGAGGCTTTCAGAAACATCCTTTTTAGCAGAGCAAAACGGCGACTGTCAGCATTATAAAAACGAGTCTGCAGAGGCTTTTACAGAAGACGCTAGTCATTTAGCTCCTTTCATTCTGCCTGCAAAACGAACAGTTCGGTTAATTAGTGCATACAAGATGTGAGAACTATTAAATGTCACAGATATTAAAAAGACCAGTTCATCGTCCTATTTCATTTTGTCGTCCCGTCTTTATTATCTTTTCCAGCTTAGCTGTAATTCGCGTACCAATGGAACTGATGGCTGACTCCGCGAACACGGTCAATAACTCACTCATATATATAATAATTACATGTAATAAAAGAAAGAACGCTTTTCAAACCAACTAGTGTTGTAAGAATGTGCTTATCCCCGGGTGTTCTTTGTTACATTGTGGTACAATGAACGTCTGCTCTGGACACTGTTTTCTACTTCAGTCATTAACCAGCTAGTAAGTAGATCACAGTGACTTACATTAGTTAAATACGCTGCGGACGGAGTTACGGACGCGTAACAGCCATCCACATAAAAATAACTCAAAGATCAATACCTAAAGACTAACGAGTTATAAGGTGAGACACAACCATAATTCCGTGTTGTGTGATATTAAACAATTAAGTATTGTACATATTGTACTGTATGAATTGTAGTTTACGTATATTACCCTTCACTTATGAAAATGCATCCATTTAACATATGTCGTTGTAAATTACGAGAAATCGAATGGGTATTACTAGAGAGATAATTATTACCATTAAATATGAAAAAAGTAAAACTTTAATTAATACTACGAACAGATTAAAAAAAAACCAAGAAACAAAAGAAGAAAACAACCACAAAAATGGGATGTTACGGTCGAGAGAGAGAGGGAGAGAGACATCTGGTTGGTGTGATGTTGTATCTGGTGGGTGAGAGGTGTCATATCTGGTGGGTGAGAGGTGTCATATCTGGTGGATGAGAGGTGTCATAGCTGGTGGGCGATAGGTGTCATATCTGGTGGGTGAGAGGTGTCATATCTGGTGGGTGAGAGGTGTCATATCTGGTGGGTGAGAGGTGTCATATCTGGTGGGTGAGAGGTGTCATATCTGGTGGGTGAGAGGTGTCATATCTGGTGGGTGAGAGGTGTCATATCTGGTGGGTGAGAGGTGTCATATCTGGTGGGTGAGAGGTGTCATATCTGGTGGGTGAGAGGTGTCATATCTGGTGGGTGAGAGGTGTCATATCTGGTGGGTGAGAGGTGTCATATCTGGTGGGTGAGAGGTGTCATATCTGGTGGGTGAGAGGTGTCATATCTGGTGGGTGAGAGGTGTCATATCTGGTGGGTGAGAGGTGTCATATCTGGTGGGTGAGAGGTGTCATATCTGGTGGGTGAGAGGTGTCATATCTGGTGGGTGAGAGGTGTCATAGCTGGTGGGCAATAGGTGTCATATCTGGTGGGTGAGAGGTGTCGATATGTTGGATGAGAGGTGTCATATCTGGTGAGTGAGAGGTGTCATAGCTGGTGGGCGATAGGTGTCATATCTGATGGGTGAGAGGTGTCATATCTGGTGGGTGAGAGGTGTCATAGCTGGTGGGTGAGAGGTGTCGATCTGTTGGAGGAGAGGTGTCATATCTGGTGGGTGAGAGGTGTCATAGCTGGTGGATGTGGGAAGTCATATCTGGTTGGTGTGAGGAGTCGTTTCTGATGGATGTGAAGCGTCATATCTGATGGGTTTGGGGAGTCATATTTTGTGGATATGAGTAGTCGTATCTGGTGGACGCAGGGAGTCGTGTCTTATGGGTATGAGTTGTTGTATTTGAGTTGATGGCGGTGATCAGTCGAAACTATCCATCTTGGAAACTACAGTAAGAGCTCCGAATACGGAGATTTATTATTTATTTTTACCAGTGAAACAGTGAAAATAATGCTGATATTTTTTCTATTTTTTGGGGGGGTAATTAATTACACCTGTTTTGTTATTTGTTAAACTAAACCAACAACTCAGAGGGCATGGTATAGTTTCCATGGGGTATTGTCAATTGTAACGTCAATATAGTTGGGACGTTTTCGATTTGTAACATCCCAAATCTGCTCTTCCCTACAGTTTGTGTAGCAGAAGATGAACTATCTGTTCTTGGAAGCCAGTGATGTAAAAAAAGGGTTACAATAAAGAACATATTTATTTCTTAATTAACAATATTTTTCTTTTCACAAATGAAAAATCAATCGACTAGTAAAACATAGGCTAAAATGAAAAAGTTGTTCATCAAGAAACTTAAAATTTCTTAAACCTATTTAATGAATAAATACATTTCGGCAATAATATCTGGATTTCAAACGATTTATTTGCATCTCCAATTTTAGAAAGTAGTGGTATTTTCTAGCGTTTATTGCCCTTTGACTACTGCAGTTAGCGGCGACCGACGATCAAGGACCGAACAGTAAGTGAGATGTGTAGTGAGGATACCGATTTCGGCCACCTCGCGTTGTCGCGTTGGCGGGGGCGCCAACACTCCAACGTGACAAAGGTGACACCGTGACAGACTTGTGCGACAGAAGCAAGGTTTGTCGTATCTTATTTTGGCCATCTAGAGTTGTTCTACAAAGAAAGGGTTTTGATGGACTAAACTATATCATTCAGAATGCGTCAATGCGACAGAAAACGTCGGTCGCGTTGTCGCACAAGTCTGTCGCGATGTCGGGGTACTTTTGTCGCTTTGTCGCGTTGGCGCATTGGCGCCCTAAACGAGATGGCTGAAATCAGCCACCATAGGATACAGTATACACCATAAGTATAAGTGTAGTGTTGGCATCACTACAGAAGTATATCACTGGTGTATCTTGAGTACATTAGGCGCACACATTACTTTTTCCCGTTCCAATCATTTTCTCACTGTACCTGTCTGATCTACTAATGTACAACTTACTGGTTTTGTTATTTCAAATTTAGTCAGGGTTAGCATATTTCGCTATTTCACTCGGGGTTGGTTTGTTTTAATAGTTCTCCTGAAGTGACTTAATTTATTATTCCATTTAAAGATGACGTTAATGCTTGAAGATGCCTTGTCTTATTTCGCTGCGATTGACTTATATTCTATTACTTGAAGATGCCTTGTCTTATTTCGCTGCGATTGACTTATACTCTATTACTTCAAGATGCCCTGTCTTATTTCGCTGCGATTGACTTATATTCTATTACTTCAAGATGCCTTGTCTTATTTCGCTGCGATTGACTTATATTCTATTACTTGAAGATGCCTTGTCTTATTTCGCTTCGATTGACTTATTTATTCTTTCCCTCGATGTTGATAAATATAGTTTGGAATTTATTTCTTATGCAATATTTTGTTGCGAAATTATGAAATAACGTCAAGCGAAAAGACGAAAGAATGAAGACTCGAAATACGATGAGGATTTAGTCCAGTATTCATTGTAGTACTTTAAGTTTAAACTAGGAAGCGAAATGGCACAAATCCGCCACATTTCGACACATGTAGTAATAGATGTGGCCGGGCCTGTAAGTGATGGCCAAGTTTAACTCGCCTGACGCCCAGGGGATTTCTTGTGAGGAAATAAACTAGAGTCATCATAGTTTGCCATTAATGTGTTCACACAGTTGTCATGGAGTGCTACAGTGTTTATTAAAGAAAGTTATATGACCAGTATTCAAGGTCATTTGTGTCTAATTTCTTATAACTCTCAAACGACTTCTTCCACAAAAAAAGGTTTGGAGTCATGGTACATGTATTTTGCCTGTAAGGCGCTCCTGTGGAGTGTCACGGAGTTGGCAAAAAATAACCGACTTTGAGTCATACCTTAGGTAACAGCACGGAATTAGTCTAAGTCCGTGGTAACAGCTAAGCGAAGCGTTATTTCATCCAAAACGCCCAAACGACTTCTTCTGAAGAACTGGAGTTTGTCCCCCCTCTGCAGCATTCTATTTGCCAGTGCTTGTACGATGTGGTCCTATTTCTACAGATAGTATTTGTCTGCTTGCGTGTAGAAGGCGATATTTTTACAGTTACCAGGACAAATTTCAATTACGTTATATGAGACAAGCCAGAGGCGAGTATTTCAATGTCTTTACTTCAGATAAAAATACTTCAGTTTGTCATTTTATATAGAGCCAGTTTTCAATCAAACCAGAATTGTGGTGTGTCTGCTATAACTGTCTGACATTACTCGTACATCACTCGGCTATCACCGTGGTGCTGTTTGTTCTGTACAGAGATCATACACTACACCCGTACCGCCCCAAGTGGAATCGATCACAGGGATCGCCGAGTTCAACCTCTGTCAGTGATACCGTTGTAATAATTACATTGGATTAGGATATAGACAAAATCGATTTGTAACGTGATTAGTTACCTTATTAAGAACACATGCATTAGCGGACTTTCTATTGATTTATGTTATGACAAGAGGTGGCTATCACAACGATATACTTTATGACCGGCTGAGTCCACAAAGTGAAATATGTAAAGACCAAGAGTGGACATAGTGATGGGCATATGTCATGACTGGCAGAAGGCATAGTGAAATATGTCATGACTGGCAGAAGGCATAGTGAAATATGTTATGACTGGCAGAAGGCATAGTGAAATATGTCATGATTGGCAGAAGGCATAGTGAAACATGTCATGACTGGCAGAAGGCATAGTGAAATATGTCATGACTGGCAGAAATCATAGTGAAATATGTCACGACTGGCAGAAGGCATAGTAAAATATGTCATGATTGGCAGAAGGCATAGTGAGATATGTTAAGATATGTCATGATTGGCAGAAGGCATAGAGAAATATTTCATGACTGGCAGAAGGCCTAGTGAAATATGTCATGAGTGGCAGAAGGCATAGTGAGATATGTTAAGATCAACAGTGGGCATAGTGAGATATGTTAAGATCAAGACTGGCAGAGGGCATAGTGAAATATGTCATGACTGGCAGAGGGCATAGTGAAATATATCATGACTGGCAGAGGACATAGTGAAATATGTCATGACTGGCAGAAGACATAGTGAAATATCTTATGACTGGCAGAAGACATAGTGAAATATGTCATGACTGGTAGAAGGCATAGTGAAATATGTTATGAC